AGCACTTTCCATTGTAGTAGCAATAGAACAGTGAGAGGTTTGTCATATCCCATCTGTGAGAGAGAGGTTGGAGGGCGGATAAATAATTTGTCACCCATAAAGACTCAGAGACGCTTTTGAACTGGTAAGTGAGCTGTTTAAAATTTTCACAGCAATGAATACTTTTTAATTTCAACCATCAATATTGTGGATGGGAGAAGTCTAATTTCCTGAAAATCTTTTTTATAAATTTTGACCAATAATTAACTATTTGGTCAATGAATGCCAAATGTTTCTTGTATTTAAACATTACCCTATAACGGGGCCTAAATTCTATTTTGAAGAGACAAATGGGTGAGAGGGATGGTCATGGTGTTTATCGTTGACATTAAATTAAAACATTTTTATTTCAAAGTTTACTTTGCTTAAAAATGTTTGCTAAATGGTAAACTTTATATTCAGATAAAACTAAATATAATTTTGTAATTTCTCAGTCAATGGAAATTATTTTCTTTAATAAAACAAAACTGGCAGGTTCTGTAAAGTGTTTTGTAACTGAAGACCAGTTCTGACTATCTTATTAAAACACAACCGTTGTTTTATATTACATTGAATAAAATCATTTGCTAGACTTTGACATGCAGTGCAAGTGAAATTCTATATTTACATGTGCCATGTTATTAAACAATTGACATTTGATTGTACTAGACTAACTTTGAAACAATTGTAAATCAGTAGTACACCAAGTAAAAAAAAAAACAAAAAAAAAACCTACCTATCCACATAACAATCTCAGCATTTATCACAGATTGTTTCAGATAACAGAAAAAAAAATTTTCCTTAATTGGTTTTGATGTTGAAAAGAATTTTACATTTCTTGCTAATTTTGGGCAGATGTAATAAGTTGTAAAACAGTGATCATCTGTTGTCATTGTTTTGCTTTTCTGGAGAGACATCTTTTCGTTAAGCCATATTGCTGACTATAATTCATTTGTGTAAAAGTCTTAACCAAATTTCAATTTTTATGTCCTAAAATCTTTAATGTAGAAGGGGAGTTCCTCTTTGACAAGCAAACCATCATAGCCCATAACTTGTCATCTTTTCTTTCTACTTTCAGTTTAGTCAATCCAATCATGTAAACCAGGGTAGGTTGAAACCATTTACTCGATGGCAACACATGCCATTATATTTTCTCTTGCTACAGAAAATTTCTATAAAGTCAGGATAACAGATATGACAACAGTTGTTCTGTCATTAAAAGTCTTTCTTGTAAAAATGGGTTGCTGTTTTGTTTTGTCTTATTAAACATATAATCTGTGATTGCATTTAAACCTGTTGATGAAAATCAAGAAAAAAAAAACAAAACAATATTGGTGATATTTAATCTTTTTCTTTATTTAACATTATGCACATTCGGATGTTTGTACAAATAACTAGAATAAAAAAAAAAATTTGTAGATTTTTTTCTGAATTGATTAGAAATGAGATTCAATAACCGAATCGTAACAAACATTTCCTTTTCTTCATAATTCAACTTCATTCAATAAAAACAGAATTTATACATTCATCGAACTGGCTCACATAGAAACAGAATTAAAAGTCATTTAATATGCAATTACGGTCGGAGATCTTTTTGGAAGAAAATTTAGATTTATTTTCATTTGAAAGAAAAGACCACTCATAAATCCTTTTGTTCTTTGGTGAAAAACATCAACAATTTGGTTTATCTGACTGCAAAACTAATAACATTGAGATATTCAAGAAGCAAATTGTATAAAATATTTAAATTCTTTTAGAAAATAATCAAATGGATATTTATTTTTTTTTTTTGACTAAAATTTCATTGTTATGAAATAATTAATTATCACTGGTTAGGAAAGGAGTGTTAAGTTTTACTGCCAATTCTTCTACTGTTTGCTTGTTTCAAACAAAAATTCAATGCCTTGTAATTGGTCATAAGCAAAGATAATGTTTTGCTGAGAAATGTCACTGGTATTTTTTTGTGATGACGTAAAAAATAGACTGCCAAGTTCAACTGGTCAAGGTCAGTTGAGGGAGAAAACTTTGCAAACCAACAAATACAATAAATCAGATACTTGGTCATTTTCATAACAGTAGGTAAGATGGGTGGGGGGAGAGGTCAATGTTTACACAATTTAAAAATGACAGATATTAACACTTAAATCAGACATCTGTAAAATGAATTGTTTTTATAATAAAAAAACATACAACTTTAATAAAATCATTTTTTATGCTTCATTTCCTGAGACTTCCTTACAAAATTAATTAAATATCTTCCAAAAAACATAACTTATGTAAATATTCTGTGCAGTAATTTCTTAAGGATTTTCTTGTATGTTTTTCACTTTTTATAAATATAAAATTTATAACATCTGAAAAGTTTATCTTCCTCCCTGCCATTTTTTTGGCTTTTCTACAAGGAAAAAAAAATGTAAACTAGTCATTTGTGCTGCTTTTTTTTTTTTTTTTAAATCTTGAATTAAAAAAAATAAAATAATTCACCAAAATAAAGATGTTTTTGTCTGATGATTAAAAAAAAAAAAAATTATGATTAAAGTTTGCTTTAAAATTAATAATTTAATATTTTATTTTAAATTAAAGTTACTTATTAAAACTTATCTCAAATGTTGCTCTTCTATTGTTTTTTTTCTTTTGTTCTTAAGAAAATGACTGGCAACAAAGATATCGATTAGTCTCGTCTCATAAAGAGTAGTTCAAGCCTTTATAAATGATTAACACAAACCGGATTTTTTTTGTTTACCGAGTTGTAAACCAAATCATTTTTCTTGAGAAAAGAAAATGATTCGCAGAGATGCCGAAAAGTATCTGGCTTTTAAAAACTGTAAAATCATAAACATTAAACATGAAACAATACATAAAGATCATTTGTAACAGGAGACAATTTGAAAAATCTCAAAAACATGATAGGAAGCCAGAAAATCTCTGAAAGCAACAATTTGTCACTGCCCTTTACAAAATGGCAAAACTTTCTTTTTAAAGAAAAAATAAAGAATTAACACAATTTTTGAACAAATAGTCAAGATTATTTTTAAGCAATTGTGTCATGTATAAAAACGACACAAACAAAAGGCAAAGCAAAATTTTTACAATGAAACAAATCTTAACATTTCCATAACCAATCTTCAAATGATATTAATATCTGGCACTTATAATTTACTTCTAAAATCAATGATACTCACTACTCATAATTTTATTTTAGTCAGATTTATTTAACCTTAATTTGCATTTTTTTCTTGTTACTCAATTCACCTCAAGCAAGGTGATAATGCCACTAAGACAAGGGGCTGCTGGAAGTGAAAGGGAATGAGAAAACTTTAGGAGAAACTGGAAACCCAATCCTAAACAGGAAACAAGGGATAAAGCTCTACTGCTGTTAAAAAACAATGGGGAGGAGTGTAAACTGGATGCTAAAATAAACAAATTTAATTACCACCACTATTTAGTTTTCCATGATCAAATTTTTTTAAAATAATTAAGCGGACTTTTTTTTATTAGGTAAAAAGTCATCTCCCAAAATTATAAACATCTCTTCTCTCCATAATTTAAAGAGACAGACAAGAAAGACTGGCAGAAAAATTCTGTGATGTTGATTTAAAAAAAATAAATAAATAAATAACAGTCTGCTTGAAATGGACTTGGAACCCTGACAATGTGAAGAGAAATAAAAGTTTAGCAGTCAATAAGTTTCTGTGTTCATGTCATAGACACTAACTGAAGCACAAAAATAACTGTCAAACTTTATTTAAAGATGAAGAGACAATCTTAACAGATGACTTAATACAAAAAGCTTGCAAAATATTCTTCAGCTTAGAAGATGAGGCACAAATGTGAAATAATGGAACAGTTAACATTGATATCATATATAATGACAAAGTGGAAAAAATTTCGCAGACTAAATTTGTTACATTGGTGTGAATGCACATGTGCACAAACGAGGGATGCTGGAAATTTTAAATTTTAATTTTATTTTTTTAAATCTATCTGATTTTATTTAGATTTGTTTTTTTGTTTTTTTTATTTCCATCCCTTTTGTTATTAGATATGCCACATTGTGATTATAGAAAATCTCCCAGGAATGGTGAAATGCTGTAAGAGCCTGGGAGAAAATTTACTGTGGGTGACCTTGTGATCAAGAGACTATCTAAACATTTCTCTAATAGTGAGTTATTTTCTACTTTAATCAGAATAGCATTTTTTCTCATGTGAAAATTTTGGTCAGTTTCATTATGGTGTGCAGATCTATCATCACAGTATGAGATACCTAATAACAAAAGTGATGGAAACAAAAATAATCTAAATAAAATCGGTTAGCGTATAAAAAAAAAAACAAAAACAAAAAAAACATTAAGTTTAAAATTCCCAGCATCCCTCGTTCATATACATGTGTAGTTGGATCAACATAACACATTTAGTCTGATGATGTCCTAAAGGATGAAATGTGTCACACAAAAGCTTTTTCCAATTTGTCATACATTTTTCCCCAATATTGTTCTTATATACCTTTCCAATAAATGCATAATGCATTCTAAACAATTTTTTTTTTTTTAAATAGGAAACAACTATTTTATAAACATGCACATGTATATAAAAAACAATGGTTCAGGTTTCCCGATGTCGCATACATGAAAAAGTTATACAAACAGAAAATGTTTTCCCTAATGAAAACAAAAAGTTAAAGATATACATTTAAATAATCTTTTTTCTTTTTTTTTTTAATATAAACATAAATTTCATGTTCAATTCCTTGAATTGTTTTTCTTGGCTTGTAATTTTACAAGAAGAATTTGCATAGAATATTATAAAAAGTTAAAAAAAAAAATTCTTGAAGAAATCACAACTTCAAGAATTCAAAAAAAAAACAGATTCAAGGAAAAGATGGACCCAACCAAAATGTAAGTGGCCTTTATTTTAAGATATTGTGGCCGACATTTGGTCAAAGTTAATGTCAGCAGTTAAAGAAAAACAAAAAAAAAGATTTGCTAAACTGTCTGCTGCAGTTGCTGCCGTCGTTGGTTGCGTTTGTTGTAAATATTTTTGAAGGTTTCAACAGTTTTCGTAATAAGAGAATCAAAAATAGTGTTGACCAGCTGCACTTTCAACTCGTGCACATCCGCATCATAATCGACCCACTGTGACTCTTCTTCCTGCAACTCTTGAATCAAAATCCGATCCACATGGTCCTTTTTCGATGTTTTCCACTTGTCAAATTCCTGCATCCTGCCCAATCTGCAGCCAAGTCCAGTGTCTGAATTGTCCACTTGCAAAAGACCAGCCACAGCGTCTTTGACAACTTTCTGCAGCTCTTCAGGACTGCTGGGTGGAGTCCGACTTTGGCGGTAATATTTATTAATGACAGGATGGCATTTGCGGTGAACGAGTTTCGCCATTGGATGACTGCTGTAATTCTTTGCAGGGTGGTGATTGTTGTTGTTGCCATCATTACCCTGGCTGTCATCACCTTGGTATACTTCTTCAATAATTTCTTTTGTTAAGTCAAAAAGCATTTTTTTGTAAGACCTGCAGCTTGCCTGATCCATTTCAGAGACCAGGTCATCTGACACGGTCAAAAAGCAGTCAGGCATCGTGGTGTCATTCAAGGAGCAACCATTGAGCCTGTCCTGCCAGAATGCTTCCACTGCACTTGACACAAGTTGGTTAATCTTTTCACGCTTTTGGGGAACTGCATAAAATTCCTTTGAAAGTTTCTGGAGTTCTAAATTAGGGTCTGCATCTGAAATTTGCAGAGAAAAAGAAAAAAATGAAAAATCCAAATTGCTTTTATTTTATACATATAAATATCTAAGTTAAAGCTTACAGAAGTAAATTTATATTGCTACAGTATTTTTGGAAGGCATAGAAATTATATCAAAATTTGTTTCATTAAAAGTATAGGAATTTAAAAGGGTTTTAACAGATGACTGAAAACGTGATACAGAAATCTGAAGGCACAATTGGAATAATGAAAAACATTTTCTAAAAGCTAAGCAAAGTATTAAGAAACAGGAAAAATTCATTAAGAATTAATGCAATATCAATCAGATATAGTAGCAAATGCTAGACAATTTCCTCGTAAATGAACAGAAGATACTATGCAACAGATATGTTGAGAATAATATCAATGGAGTACTTGAATTTTAAGGAAAGGAAGTTCTAAGGAAAAATGGAAACAAAAAAAAAGGGACATACTTAAAATCAGAAAGAGACAAAATTTTAAACACATAATGAGGAAAGAGGGCTAGGAGAATTTGATGATCATATGACATACTGACAGAGGTGCAAAAGGAAACAGCAAGTAACTGACCTAATGAACTTGTGTAAATGAATGACAGTGAGGGTAAGGAATAGTAAGGAGACAAGCAAAACTACAAAGGATAGGAAGTTGTAGAGGACCATGATTGCCTACAGAATCTATACAACTAAAAAAGCAGTAGTGAATCACATTCAACAACTGATTATTTTTTTTAGTTTACTGAAAATTTTATGAACAAACAAAAAAAATAAGTTGTTTATAAAATAATTGTTTAATTGATGATACGAGATTTCTGCAACAACTGGTTTTCACTTATGAATGATCTCAAAGCAATACTTTACAAATAAATTCAACAGACATGGCTAAATTTTTACAACAAACAGAACCCGAAATTCATCACATTAATATACAGACTATAAAAATGGAAATGCATCTTAAATAAAAGTAATTATTTTTTTTTCTTTTTTAAATTATCAGCAGTTATAAGAATAAATATTTGGCAATATTGGACATTTGTACTTGCAAAAAAAAAAAAAAAAAAAGTGTCAAAAGGACATTTTTTTCTTGATAACACTATTATTTTAACTATGTTCACTCCTTGGCAATATTTAGTGTTTTAAAAAGTGATGATTAGAATTTCAATAAATCCTAAACATATGAAAGTGAATTTATATATTATTTATGTTGCCAATTCTCAATTCTATTTATTTATTTATTTATTAGATTGTTTATTGAAATGGTTGGCAAAACAGCTAATTAGCAATTGATTTGAATTTCATAAAATGGTAAATAATAAGGATTTCCTTATAGTTGGTTCAAATATTTTAATAATTTAGCAAATGTTTATAAATTTATGAATTAAAAATTGTTTTTACATTTATTTCTTTATAAAATGATAAATTATAATTATTGTATTGCATTAGTTTTTAGAATGTAAATATAAAATTGTTTTTGTAAATAAACAATCTAATAAATAAATAGTATTTAATATTTTTGTTGTAAATTCTCAAGAACAGAAAAAAATGTATAAATTCACTTTCATCATATATTTAGGTTTTATTACAACTCTAAATCATCGCTTTTTTTAAATAATAAACATTGTCAAGGCTTGAAGGTAGTTATAATAATAGCAATGTTAAGGGAAAAGTCATCCTTTTGACACTATTTTTTTTTCTTTTTTACAAGCACAAGGTCCAAGATTGTCAAATATTTTATTATGCCTGTACCATAACAGTTGTTACATTTAGTGTATAAAGTGTGTATGCAAATGTAACATATTATGGGACAAAGCAGTAATTATATTTGAAGTACCTGTAAATTGTGCACCACACACAATTATCAATAAAAGAAAAACATACTGTTTAAAACTACTGTGCATTGCATCATTCTTAGATGATCAACTATAAATACTTGGAGGAAGATTGCATGCCTTGTAAGAAATGGTTTACTAAAAGATATTCTCAAAAGGATTTTATGTGGACATCAATTTGAATTGAGGAGATATAGATTTTTTTTTTAAACTGAAATTTCTTCCTAACTACAAATCTCTTGAAATTATTCGTTTCACCTTCTGAGTGAAATCTTAGCCGAACTCCTTTTCATATTAAAATTGTTTTCTCTGAGATTGCCTTCATATCAGTATTACTCTCATGAAGGCCCTCAAACAATTGACGCAAATGGCCCTTCTTATCACTTGTGCTCTGATAAATTTCTCTCGACAACCCCATGGAAAGAGTTTTGCCTATTTTTCAGCAATCGTGAGAAGAAAACAATGTTCGCAAAACGTAATAAAATAATTAAAATATCAGAAGGAATGTCTTCAACAGAAAGTCACTTACCAAAGTTGAGATTTGTCAATAAAGGATACAACATAAGGAATCCAAACGGAAAATAAAATAAACACTGATGCATAGCAAGGAAGACACAACTTAATCCAAACAAAACCTATATTCATATCTATTTATAGACAAAAGATTCCATTGGTTATAAATAGATCCAAAGAAAAAAAAAAGATCAACAAAATATAAAATATTTATCAAAAATAAAATATAAAATATCCAGAATTTTCATTGATAACAAAATATTTAAAGAAAAATTTAGAAAATCCCCCAAATATGTAAACAGCCAGATGTAAATTTTAGTTTTTGATTTGACAATCTTACCTGGTAATTATTTTTTTTTTTTTTTTTAAAAATCAAATCAAGCAGAAAAATGATTTTTGAAAAGAGATAAAAATGGTTTATGAAATTTGATAATGTCAACTTACCATGTCCAGGGTAAGGAGGTGGGGGTTTGTATGGCACCAAATCTGACCAAATATTCTCAGCAACATCATCTGACAACAACAATGGCTGGGGAAATAGAAGCAGAAGAGAGAAATGAACACTAGAAGCAGAGAAATAAGCACGTGAGAAATACGCGTTTGGGGGGGGGATAAAAATAAAGAAACAAAAAGTTAAAAGGAAAGGAGCTGGAGATGATGAAGGCAACAAAGAAATAAAGACTTTTTAAGAGAGGAGATGTAGAAGTGGGGAGAGACTGAGAAAAAGAATCAATACATTGGTGAGGGAAGGAAATTGTAGCCTCAGCAGATCAAGCAAGGCTTATCGATAGTAGCAGCAGCAGTAGCAGCAAGCACGTGGTTTGGGGAGTTGTGAGGAGGCCAAAGCTGAAAATGGTAAACTGGAATGGTACAGTGGGAAAATAGAGTGAGAAAGAGAAAAAGAACAAATGAGAGAGAGAGAGAGAAAAGTGAAAGAGATGTAAGAGCAAATGTGAGAGAGAGAGAGAGAGAGAGAGCAAATGTGAGAGAGAGAGAGAGAGAGAGAGAGAGAGAGCAAATGTGAGAGAGAGAGAGAGAGAGAGCAAATGAGATGGAGAAAAAGAGAGCAAATGAGAGGGAGAAAAAGAGAACAAATGAGAGGGAGAAAAAGAGAACAAATGAGAGGGAGACAGAGAAAAAGAGAACAAATGAGAGGGAGACAGAGGAAGGAGAGAATGAAGAGAAGAAATATAATGATTAGTGAGAATAGACATGGAAAGAGAAACAAAAGGAACAATTATAACAGATAAAAAAAATAAAAATAAACTAAACTTTTGAATTGTTCTTATTGTCTATCAATATTGAAATCAGAAGCAACCAAAACTCCACAATATTTGATTCTTAAAAGAGAAATTGAAATAAAAATAGTGAGGGTGGCACTGAAAGTGTTTTACTTGTAGCCATGTTTAGACATAATATTACTAAATCTATTTTTATTTATTATTTTTTTTTATCATTTCACCCCAAGCAAGACAATAAAGCCACTAAGTTGCAAGGGGGTTACTGACTATGAAAGAGTACAAGAAAAAGAAAAACATTATTAAGGAGAGAGAACAATAAAAAAAAAACAGAAATTAGGACAGAAGATAACGATTGACATTGCATTTAAATTTTTGAAGATCAAACTTGACTGGAAATCAAGCCGGAAGAGAGTTCTATGTATAAGAAAAGAAATGGTTAACATAGAACTTACGGTTACATCTAGCCATTTCAACAGTAAAGTGATGAAATCTTGCCAGTAATCTAGTAGTGTGCTTAAATTCATAATCTAGACACCATAGAGGTGATTTCATCAGAACATTTATCATGAATGTATTTAAAAGTATTTACAAAAAAGGTACAGGGAACCTATATTATGACAATGGGAAAGTGACTGAAACTGAGATGCCAGGTAAGGACCAATGATATTGCAGATTCTTTGGATTTTATCAAAGAACTCTAAATATAAAGCAAGAGCACCAGAGCATATGTGGTAGGAATATTCAATGCAAGGGTGTTTGAATTTTGTTAGGTAAAGCATTTCCCATATTCATTTTCATATTTTTTGCATGTCAATTTCTAATAGTTGTAGACTGACAGGCTGAAAAGTGGCAATAGAAAGCAAATGAAATTAAAATGCAAGAAAATCCTTGTCAATAGTTAACAGGTTTAGTAAGAAAGATCAAATTGAGAGCTTTTTCTCTTTTAAAAGTTAGATCATTGGTTACCTCATAAATAAAAGAAATTTCACTTAAAACAAGAAAAAATTGACAATGGTTTTTAATATTTTTGTTGTAAATTCTCAAGAACAAAAAAAAAAGTATGAATTCATTTTCATCACATGTTTAGGTTTTATTACAATTCTAATTATCACTTTTTAAAATAAAGAGTGAAGGTAGTTAAAAAAGTGGCATCATAGGAAAAAGTGCCCTTTTGCCACTATGTCTTATTGTAGGCATGTTTGTCATAAATTGTTGCAATAGTGTTTTTAAATCTAAGATATTTTAGGTACTTTAGAAATCATTTCCAATATGATTTTTCAATATTATTTGTATAGAAAAGAATTTTGTCAGTATAGAATTTCACATTGGAAAAAATTTTTACATTGAAAGACATTTCCAGATTTATTAAAGTCACTTTGTAAATTTATTTACAGAAAATAATTGCACAAAGTTTTGCACTTGATAATATAATTAAATCAAAATGGCTTGAATAGGTTCAAGAATAAAACTGATGTCTTTCGCTTCCCACTTCTTATGGAATGAGATGAAAAAGAACTAACAATAGATGGTCATTTAAAAGTAATCCCAACAAACATAATGGTAAAGTAATTAATTTTCTATAATGTTATATAAAAAAAGCTAAAAAGTACCTATGCCTTGATTTCAACTGGAGGTAACTAAGCAAGTCACATATCATTACACTAATGTGCAGCTGCTGAATTTCACTTTCAAAAACAAAATTAGTATTTATGTGGATTTTTTTTTTTACACATTTTAAACAATTACTTCTAAGAGTCATGTTTATTTATTTATTTTTTTTTTTTTACATTTATTTCATTTTCAAAATATTCAGATATGTTCATAAATTTTTACTTTGTAATTAATAATTTCATGAAAGACAATGTGTTTGATTGCATTGACCATATTATCTGCATTTGTAACTTTATAAACAAATGCAGTTTTAATAAAAAAAAAAAATTAAAAAAAAGAAATTTAAGAAAATTCTGAAAAAGGACGAATACAAATAAACAATGGGAAAATTAGCTAAATTTATTAGATCTTTTATGGATTAATTATGAGTATATCTGTGAAAGTTACTTTCCCTCATTAAATTTATTAAATAAGATCATTTAAAAAATAAAAGTTGTTGTATGGAAAGAATGGGTGTTCTACAACTACAATAGAGAGAGAGGTTTATAAAGAATAGTGGAAAATCATTTAGATATTAGGGGGGGGGGGGGTAAGCACATGCACAACAAATAAAAATAAAATGTTCAAAACTTCCTAATGTCATGCTTCACAGATGTTTTCTGCTCAGATAACATTATCTGCTATAAGTAGATATCTGCAAAACTTGAAATTGGAAAGATAAGTTATGAACTTTTTATTTCTTTACTATAAAGTATTAATACTCTACTTCTTATTACTAAACACTTCATTTATAAAGACTGCCTTGAGATTGTTACTCAACAAATATACACTAGTGGACCTTTTCTTTTTTTTTTTGCGGAGAGGTGGGAGACACAATCATTGTGTGAGTGTGAAGAATGAGGATCAAGGCAACAGAAGATGTCGATTAACATTACATTTGTATGAATGCAAGACAAATATAATAAAAAGCTTAATTGCAGTGCCTTGTCAGCCATAATCAATGAAACCTGTATAAAAGAGGGATTACTGGCCACACACACGTGTGTGTGTGTGTGTGTGTGTGTGTGTGTGTGTGTGTGAATTTCAGATATAACTAAAAATGTATCTATAAAAGGTCAATATGAATAAAGACAAAAGGAAAACTTATCTTAGCCAATGCATTTTGTCCTCTGATGGGCTTTATCAAGGCAAATGTGAGGATTTGATTGTGCAACAAGTATTTATAAACAAAATTAAAAATGTCAGAGTTTTTCAAAATTTTTAAATTTAAGAATGTTCATAAATATTTTAGTTAGCCTGATGTATATTTATGAGTGTTCTTAAATTTAAAAATTTTGAAAAACTAACACTTTTATTTTTGTAGTTGATTCTTGTTGAATCCTTATATTTGCTTTGAAGTCCATTAGAGGATGAAAAGCATCACCTAAAATAAGTTTTCCTTTTGTCATTATACACACACACACACACACATACACACATATATATATATATATATATATAATAAATAAATTTATACTCCCAATTAATAGGGAAAAAATAAACAGAGAATCATAATGTATGTAAAATATAAGTAAATAGGTCATACCTTTGGTTCATTTGGTAAAGGGGAATGTGGCCTCGGGATATTTTTATCAAACTCATCACTGTCAGCCTGTGGAAAGTCATCTGAAGACTCAGAATCCGGTGACAGGCTCCAAAGGAAAGGATCGTCATCAAGACTAAAAGCTGGTACTTCAAAACTGGAACTCTTTCGTGTTGTAATCTTTTTCTCATCAATAATAATTTCCTGAGGACTCTTAACAAGGGAAACTGGTTTAGTATTATCAATCTTCCTTTGCCTGACATCAAGAACTTTTTTTATTGACTCTGCCAGAAGAGATTCCATCAGTTCATTGGTTAACTGTTGTTTAATTCTCTTGTATTTATCATCTTTAGTCTTTTCAGGTTCAGTTAGGGGCTTTGATTCTGTCAAGACTTCTGATGTCAGGATTGTAGCAGATTCATACTTTTCATTGTCATTCTCTTCTGCTACTGTTACAGGGAGGGTCACTGACTGGCTTTGGTCAGGGGAGGTTTTTCTCTTTGGTTTTGGCAACACGGCTGGTGCAGCTTTCTTCACATTGGACATTTTTTCTTTTTTCCCAGCTGCTATCTTGCATATTGTTGAAACTGACTCTGACACAAACTTGTTGAGAATTTCATCAACAACATTCTCAATTTGCTTTGATGTGCTATTAAGAACACCATCTCCAGAATCTACTAACGGTTGTGGCTCAATGCTGACAGAAGATAAGCCCTCCATGTTTTCTTGCAATTCAGAATCAATCAGTCTATCTGTCGATTCCTTGGAAACATTCTGCTCAGGAGTTAAAGAAACTGGACTGGCATGTAAAGAGGTTGCAGAAATGTCAAATTGGCCATCAGGGATGCCTCTTGGACTATTAGAGAGAATGAGGGATTTCGAAGGAGATGTCCTGGCACTGGTATCACTATGAACTGAAAATTGCTCACTAATCTCATCTTCTTGTTCGACCTCTGAAATTGTCTTATCAAGAGAATACTGACTCATTTCTTCATCTTTACTTTTGTCATCATCTTCAAGCTCATCAAAAGATTGGGAAGGCTGGCTGCTTACAGTCTTATCAACTTCAAAGTCTTCTGAATATTGTTCGGAAAATGAGGTTGAGTCTCCCAGTTTATCTTTTGCTTTGACAGAATCTTCACTCTGTTTTGTCTCAGATTCTGCATTTGCCAGTTGGTAAGAATTCTCTTCATTTAGATTTAATTTCAATATGGTTTTGTCATTGTTGCTGGTTTTAGACAAGGCACTGGATGAAGCCATTGACTCAATTTTCTCAGAGATACTTTCAGAAATCTCGGACAAAAGTGTACCCAAATGTACAGACTTGTCAGTGGGAAGGTGTCCGGAATCAACCTGGTTTTCATACTCTTTAGATAATTTGGTAGTTTCAGTGTTAGGCTGAGAAGATGTTCTTGAAGCCAAGTTTGCCAATGAATCAACTTTTGCAGAATTCAAGACCTCCTTAGCAGATGAAGGTGCTTCTTTGGTCATTTTACTCAAGCCACTGATACTAACAGACCTAGGGGAAGAAATAGTCTTTTCATCAAATTCTTCAGGAATGCTCTTTGTTTTAATGTCTGTTGTTGACGTGTGAGGCACTTCATTAGGACTGCTTTGCTGAACAAGATGGCTGGCAAGTGGAGGAGAAGACTGCTTGCTGATATCACTTTTGTTTGCGGCTGGAAATCGAGGTGACAATGTTCCGGAACAAATAGAAATTTCTGGTTGAAATTCATGTTTGACTGGAGACAACGGCGATGTAGGCAGGGCTATTGAAATAAAATTTTTAAAAATACACCTTTTAATGTTTAGTTAATTATTTACAAGACGTTCATATTTTCAATTCAATAAAATGTTATAATTCATAAAAAAAAAAAACAAAGATAAACACAGGGAAGACAAACATTACTTTGCTGCCATTGAATGGTTTCAATAGACATCCATGCAAATATTTCATGTCAAAGAAAAACCAAAAGGGATTACTGACATGATCTTCGAATTTAAATGCCGGCTTCATTCACTTTTTTTTTTTAATACTAACTATGATATGACACATTCAGCTGATCTTTTTTTTTTTTTCCTTCATTTTTCAAACAAGGCAATAATGCCACAGACACATAAAGGGTTACTGGGAGTCAAAGAAAACAAAGAAATATTTTATTTTCTTAAAAGACAGTTGCTGTAAGTTAAATTTAACAACCATATTCTACTGGAAAGAAACTTGAAGCAATTATTTGTTTTTAATTTAAAATACAGTTTATTATAGAAATGAATTTTTAAGAAAACCTAGAGTATCTTCTATATTAAACTTATTTAACAGATTTTTTTAAGTTCCAATTCAAGACAAGGATGATCTGCTGTATGAAAAGCTACATTAAAAAATATATTTCATTAATTATATAAACCTATTATGCTTTTCAAAAGCTAAGTAAATTATTAAGAAACAAAAAAATTTTGTTACAAATAAAAGAGTACTGAACTGTTATGTAATATCTGTCCTCCTATATAGCAGTGAATGCTGGACAATCTCCTCACAAATTAAGAAGAGACTTGAAGTAACAGAAATGTGGTTCTTCAGAAGGATGCTGAGAATACCATTGACTGAACATATGAGCAACAACAAAGTTTTTTTTTCTTTTTTCTTTTTTAATCATTTCACCCCAAGCAAGGTGATAATGCCACTAAAACACAAGGGGCTACTGGGAGTGAAAGAGAATGAAAAGACTTTAAAAAGAACCAAAAACCCAATCCTAAATAAGAAACAAGGGCTAAAAAATCTACTCCTGTTCAAAAGACTGAGGAGGAGTGTGAATTGGATTATTTACTAAATTTAGCTTAGTTAGGCACAAGGTCACAATAGTCGAACACCTAGTGAGGATTCAATCCTCTATGATAGGAAATTAGTCTCTGGCATAAGCATGATATCCATCCAGCATCTCAAATTTGGCTATACTAAGTAAATTGCTCAAAGTTTAAAATTTGTGAAATTAAACATTTTTAACATTGAAGGTCAATTTGAATCTATTTGATATTTAAAGACCTGAACAAATGACATTCATCAAGTTTATAAATCTGTTCTATGCACTCCTGACCTATTAATTAGATTGGTGAACATTTTTCTTTACAGGAGTGTTGAGATTGATCGACTTCTTTTTTATGGCTTATCAACCTATGGATTATTTAAAGCTGAAACATATTTTGGATTGTAACCATCCTGACAGATTTGCTAAACAGGCAATCAACCCAATATTGTGTTTTGTAATTGTTTTTCTTTTTTTTTTAAATGGCTTGTTGGCATTGACCAAAGCTGCCAAGGTCAGGGTATGCTCACAAGGAGATGAAGTCAGGGAAAGATTCACTTGGAAACACAAAAGATAACAGTGTTTCTAAGGAGAATCCACTTTGATTTTTCCAACAGTGGTGGCGGTACATATAAGACCGTGGCAACCAATGGACACTCTGTACCAGCCTGATGACACTTTTTGTACAGACGCAGAACAACCCCTTCTTCTCACAAGTCTTCTGTTATATATCTGTGGTCACACAACCTAAACAATGGAACATCTGATCTTTGTACCATCTGCATAAGTGTAGATTAAAATAGACAACAGTATTATTTATCAACTCTACTTAAATCAAATAGGTGACCTAATGACAATAATGTCATTTATCCAATTTTACCTCTGTTGATTAAGTGGACCTTGTTACTTCAGACAATAAGTTTCATCCAAGCCAGACAAACACACAGTATTACATAATAATTCTTTTTGTGAGCGAATATTTAAAAAAAAAAAAAAAAAAAAAAAATTATTATTTTTCCAGATACAAGTTGAGGTGACTCATTTACATAGGAAGTCACAAAGACTATAAATAGTGGGCAGTTGAGTGCATACTGCTTTTTGTGAGTCAGTAATATTGCACTACAATGGCATCCCCGATATCTAAAGAACCAAGTGAACAATTATCATTAGATAATTGTGAGTACAAACAAGAATGGCCGAGGACTCTAGCAGCTAAAGGTAGAACAAAAATGCTGAAGGATTTGAAATCAGTTGGAGGAGAAAACCAAATAACTGATCTCTTTTTGGCAACTGCTGGTTGTGAAGCCATTATAAAATTATCAGCAATTGCACACCCAAGACAGTTGGAGAAAATGATGTTTGATTATATAAGTAAACTAATAGTGAAAAACATAGCACACCCAAGAAAAAACTAGTGAATGCAGAGAGAGAGCTAAGTTCATGAATATTTCTCAAAAAGTGAATGACCCAGTTACTGAATATGTTCTTTGTTTGAAACAGGCTACGAAATATTGTGAATTTGAGAAACTGGGAGTGGAAAATCAGTCAGTTGAAGAGGATTTGAACCAAATGAAATTGGTAAACATTCTTCAATGTGAGGAATATCAGCAAATGTCTTTAATGCATTTATAACTGGGAAAGTTATCACTAGAACAGTGTGTTGAATTTGTTCAGCAACAAGAATTGATTTAGAAGTTTAATACAACAAAAGTTACAGATCTAGTAGAGAAATAGACACGTATGCAATAAAGAGAAAAGAATAATGTGTACTTTTTGTGGTTATCAACATCAAAGAGAAAAACAAAAATGACTGGCATATATAAAAAAAAGATGTGAAAAGTGTTTCAAAATGAATCATTTTAAATGCATGCGTAAATCCAAAAAGAGAAATGTAGAAACTGCCCAACAAAATAAAAAGGAAAGAAGTATACCCAGAAATTTCTGGAAGAAATTAGGAAAACCAAGATTAAAGAAAAGCCTTGTCCAATTGAATCAGTTCAATGGATATGTGATAAAAATGATAAGTTAATTTGAAGCCTACATGAAACTAAAAAATAAGTTTGACATATTACCAATTATCGTGGCAAACAGTGAAAAGAACCATGGTCTAATAGGAAATGATGTATTGAACATAAATTTGACAAAATTAGTAAACAAAGTCAAGACAGAAGAAACTGTGTGCTATGTTTTTCTTAGAACTTATAAATTTCTACAGACAACATGTAGAGTGTACTCTGAATTAACAGAACCTTTTGCTGTTTCAAGAAAAAACAATGTGGAATTTATTTGGACAACAGAAGAACAAGTAGCATTTGAAAATTTAAAAGCTGTTCTGGCAAAGCAGCCAGTACTAAAAATATTCAACCCGAGAAAGGAAATAGTAGTAACAACTGATGCAAATGAACACTCAATTTTGGGAATATTAGCTCAGGATGGCCATCCTGATATTTATCCCTCAAGAAAATTGTCAAAAGCCAAAATGAACTACTCAAATATTGAGAAAGAAGCATTTGCCATAATATGGATAACAAATAGAGCTCGTCAGTTTCTGATTGGAAAGAAATTCCTACTAAGATCCGACCATAGACGTTTAGAATTCATATTTAATCCTAGGAAGGAACTTCCTAAGGTAACATCTTTTAGAATTTTAAGATGGGCCTTAATGTTAATGGCATTTGACTTTGATATTGAGTACATGAAATGCAATATCATTCCGTATGTAGATGCTTTGTTAACATTGAGGTTCATTATTTCTGAAAGTGAGAAAAAGGAGGAAAAATTTGAAGATACTATCTTACACTGGGTTGAAACAGATATTTTGTCAATAGACAAATTAGCTGAGGATACAAAGAGAGATCCCATATTGAACAGTATATTGGTCAGGATGAAAAATAATAAGTGGAATAATTGCTCATGGGCAGAAAGGCGCTTTAAAGAGTTTAGACACAAGTTAACCATAGAAAAGGGTGTAATTTGTAATGGAGACATAGTTGTTCCACCAGCAACACAAAGGAGCAAAATTATAAAAAGCATACATGATGATGTTCATTGCAGAATAATATCTATTCAAAGGAGATTAAAGCTCAAGGCATGATGACCAGGCTATACTACAGATGTAGAAGAATGTGTAAGAAGATGTAAAACATGCATTGAAAGAAGAAAATTCAGACAGATAAAAACACATACATGGCCTAATGAATTCTGACCTTGGGGCAGAGTACACATGGCTCATGCCCATGTTAATGAAGTGGGATTATTACTAATATTGGTAGGCATGTATTCAGGATGGCCAGAAATAATACAGGTTTCCAACAAAAGAAGTTTGACCATGAAACAAGCATTAAGGATCATATTTTCAAGAAATGAAATTCTGAAAGTGCTAGTATCCAACAATGCTCCAGAGTTCTGTGACAAGAAACTATGCCAATGGAACATAATTGAATGGAAACCATATAAAACCACACCATACCATCCACTATCAAATGGATTAGCAGAAAGGATGGTGCAAACTATAAAAAACAGATTGAAGATGTGTTACAACAGAAAGAAAAGATAGTAACAATCTAGGAAGAAATGTTTCTAAGCTATAGGACAATACCACATGCTGGAAGATTGAAAAGCCCATCCACCCTCATGGGGAGACAAATTAGACCCACCATTGACCATGCTTTATGCCACCAACAAAATACTGTGACATAAAAGAATAGTGAATCTAATCTACAAGATTCATAATGCAAAGTGGACAGAACACTATGATAATAGAAAAAAATGGAAATGGGATATGAGCAAATGCAGACCAAGTTAGACTGCAACACGACAGTGATGAAGAAATGTACAGTGAAAGTAATGAAAGTGAAAGTGTCATGTCAAATCAAGAAAAACATGACAGTGAAATTGAGAGCAATATAGACTCTGAAGATGAACAATCGTTGGAGGAACACTTCTATGAAAAAAGAAAAAGATCACAATCTCTCATATCCAGACAATCTCTTAGGGAAAGGGAAGAAGATAATGAGGAGGCAAGAAGTACCAGGGAAGATAAGGGAATAAAACCTCTTCGGTACAGGGAGATGAGGTGACTCATTTACATAGGAAGTCACAAAGACTCTAAATAGCTACAGCTATTACCCATGGGCAGTTGAGTGCATTACACAAGTTCTACTATTTAACAGATAGGTGAGCAGAAGGAGATGGATTCCACTGATAATCAAACAGTTGTAGAAAGCAAAACAATTGGGCATCATTTGCATAAAGAGTTGCATTGGCTGTTTTTTTATAAAACAAAGCAGCAATAAAATTTCATTTTTATTATTAATTTTTTCAGTCTTGTTATAGTTAATATAATAACCCCTTTGTGTCTCAGTGACTTTACTGCCTTGCTTGGGGTGAACTTGATTAAAAAATAAAAATATCAGTTGGTTTTGATCTTTAAAGACTAGCAGGCCCTGGCATAAAGTGTTATAAAAATTTAATATCCCAGAATGGCATCAAACTGATATATAAATGGCATGTCATTAAGAATGTTACAAAATCTGTTTTATTTTAGCCATTTTTATAACATTTTATCCATTATTTCAAAAAAGCAATGTTTTTTTTCTTTTTTTTTTTTTTTTTTTTATATATAAAGGAATCATTCAAATCTTGTAAAATGTTGAACCAAATTTAATCAAAGATTACATAGGATCATGTCAATCAAATTTTTATATCTAATGGGGGTTCACATTGTGGAAAACATCTCAAAATCAATACATACTTCCAAACACATTATAACTTTCCTATCTTCTTCTTTATGTGCCAAGTTCCTTCAGGATGTATGCAATCATGGCCCTCCACAATATCTGGTCCCTTGTAGCTCTTAACAAATTTTGTCTTTTTGCTATTTCTCCTAAACCTTGTTCTGTCATCCATTTACTCAAGCCCATAGAGTATGTTACGCACTGTTTTTTTTCTGTCCCTCAATCTGTCCTGTGAGTATCAGACTTTCTTTTTTTTTTTTAAATTTTGCTCTAATGACTGCAGTTACCTGATTTTTCTGCCATTTTGAAAATTATAATTTTTGGAGCAAGTTGACAACTTTGAAACTCCAGCCTAAAACTTCTCATGTGATTCATATTAGAACATGCAATTTTTACAAGATTTTATGCCAAGACCTGGATTAAAATACATGACCTCCACTAAAATTAAATCCACTTTTTTCTTTTGTTGTCAAGAAAGTTAACATTGATACTGGGGAAGAATAAAAAAAAAAAAACTTTGATTTTAATCATAAATGGACAAAAAAGTGACTTTTGATTTGAACAAAACTAGATTTTATAATCATCACTACAATTAAACTCTTCATCCTCTATACTTTTATTGTTTGTAAGTTTCAAACCAGTAAAAGTTTTTATAGAGAAAAGACAAAAATTCAGATTTATGGACACAAAACACAATTGAATTATAAAATAGATTCAACTGGAAGAATATCAATTGTTCCAATTCTTATAAATAAAATCTTATTTGGTTATTAATGACTGACATTAATCAATTGAAATCCATGTGCATGGAATTTTCTTCAATAGAAAATATACTAAACAAGTTTAAAAGAAAAACCTAAAACCCAGTGAACCCTAGAAACTCAAATGCACTCCTACAAAAGGGTTTTCAATGTTACATTTCTTTCTGATCTATTAGAATGATAGGAACAGGTAAACAGTTGTTACCTTTTATAAATATAGGCCAAGATTCAAACCAAGGCTTTATGTAATTTAAAAAAAATGTTATAACAACGAAACTAAAAGTAGAATTGTTAGAAAGCTTACTTTCATCTGCACTTGACCCTGTAGAATCTCTTTTGCTCATTTGGGCTGGGCTGATATCTGGAGTTGATCTTTGCTTGAACTTACGTGATTCTGACACTTTGGGTTGTTTTATTTGAGGTTTGACCCCCTTTTTACTTGAAGTATCATGTTCTTTTTGTAATTCTTCTTTAATCTGTTTAATGTAATTGTCATAAGCCTGCAACAGATGCAAAATGAAATCAGTACAACTAAATATATTTAATGTACGTACATATTCAGTGTTTATTTGTCATTAAAATCATTGACTCAATTCTAAGCCAAGAGAATTATGAGATTTCACTCAAATTGATTATTAATTTTAACAAGTTTATCTTTCATGTTATTGTCTGTATTGAAATGTTTGGTTGTTTTTATATTCTATAGATCATTAAATAAGCAGGACAAAGTAGTCTCAGACAAGATTTGAACTTTGATCATGTCTTGTTAGAAGCCCATTTGACATGTTTGGTCTTTGTAGCTAAAAGACATCATCCATATTGCATTGAAGATGAATTCTTTATTTCCTGTCTATGTGGATAACTTTAGAATCTAGAGAATGTAAAAAGTCTTGGGCAGTGTAATAAAAAACAACAATAAAAAGATGAAAGATAAACTAGTCAAAAATCATTACTGAAAATGCTTCAGAAATCTATCTTGATTCTTTTACAATTAATAATATTAAAGTGAATTTTTATTTCAACAGAATTTGTCAACAGTGTTAATATAATCCTGGTACAACACAATTATAATAATGCATCATACATATTAAAGTAAACAATATGATATTTTATTAAAGTTGCAATCACTACGAACTTAATGATGCTTCTAATTTTTCAAAATTCACTTTCCTATCATCAGTTAAATGCAGTCTTCATCTGTGACATTGTAAAATCATAATCAAATTTAAATTTTTGTCATTAAAATTATTTATTCTGTTGCACAGAGTCACTGATTAAAATTCCATTCAAACACTAAAAATCCAAAAAGAAAAAAAAGAAGTTATTTCTTCATTGAATTTTCTTGAATCAAAAAGAAAAAGGTTCTTTCACTGATATACTTATGTATTCCTGACAAGATCCAGAAATTGTATAAGGGTGACAATGTCATGGTTATTAGAGCACATAATGGTTACAAATAAAAGCAATTATAACAAATAAGTATACAATAGAGTGTTTATTCAAACAAATTCTGCTGGCTTGGGAGAATCCTTTTCAATAAAAGAAAAACCTCGGAGACAATCTCAATTGTTGTCCACCAATCCAACATGACATATGCAAGATTCTTCATTATATACAACCTGAAGTATTTTGATATCAATCAATTCTAGTCCCCAACACCAGAGTTAGCTGAAAACGGCCTTATTGTGCAATATGTAGTGATATTGATATGGTGATGTGTAATGTAATTATAATTAAAGTAAACTGATTAGTAAAACTATGATGCAGTTTTCAAGGAAGACTTAACATAAAAAAATGAATATCTTGGATTGACAAGGGAAACTACAAGTGGCTGGAAGAGAGCAGACAAAAACAAAGTAAGACACCCAAAAAATTTGATGGTAGACAATCAGTTAAAGTAAACGACATCTACAGTAGAATTAATCAGTTTGCATGCAGCCATTTTGTTTAATTCAAATAATTTGATTTGAAAGTTCAGATGAAAATTAAAAATCTAATTATGACAAGTTTTTCTATGTAGAAAAAATATCATTAGCCAAAGGGTAATGATAATATTAGCTGTTTCTCTATAAGGAAACATTTGAAATTCATTGACTGAACAACCAGTACTGTTGAAATTTATAAAATCTTTCTCTTAAAACACTTTAGGAAAACAGGTTTCCCAAGTCCAGTAGTTGTTATTGCTCTTTCCAGTATTGATGGGGTGGGGTCCTTCCTAAACTTTTATTTGAAGTGGGGTGGAATATTAACATCTTGATTATACCATTATTTTCTCAAGTTACATGTGCTATCCATTTTAGTTGTTGTTACTGTTGGTAAACCTCAAGTGATGTGGTTTCTGTTATTTGGTACAGTTTTTTTGTTTGTGATTACACAGTGCCAGTCCACAATGTTCAAAGAGGGATGATTTTTGCCAAGACCCCATGCATAGACAATGCTATTTAAGAACACGACTCGAGTTTTCAGGTTGATGTTTTGGTTTTGTAGCAATTTCTGGTGTTGGGCAAAACTACCTCTGGCACAGCCTATTCTATGTTCAAATAGAAGAAATTAACTACAGTATTTTTAAAGCATTATTCAAAAAAGAAATATATCAAGTATTTGTTGTGTTCATATTTAGATAAAGAAGATAAAAAACAAAATTATTTGGAAGGACAAGTGACTAGAATTTACTTTATTTTAAAGATAACATACAATAATAAAGAGTGCAGAGAAGAAATTCTTTTAATAATCTGTCATTTTCTCACCTCGATTTGTTTGATGAGAGATTCTTCTTGTGCTTCTAGCTTTTCCCGGTATTTGGCTTTTTTTTCATGTCGAAGTCTATCAGCTTCAATCTTTTTTTTTCTCAAATCCTCAGAAAGAGCACGGATTCTTACTTCTATGTCACTTGCATCTGAAAGAGTTTCTACCAAAAAAAGAACAAGAATTGAATATATATATATATATATATATATATATATATATATAGAGAGAGAGAGAGAGAGAGGTGTCTGTGTACAGTTATTTGCAAGAAATATTTAAAGTTGTAGGAAATTACGGAATTGTTATTTTGGAAATTTTAAGTGAATTGTTTCCAAATTAAATTAATCATGACTCTTGTTCCAACATGTCAAGTTGGTATTTTTATTATCTTTCTTTACCAATGGCCCCCTGCATGTCTAAAAGAGCTGTTGAGCTAATAAACAATTGAATACAGACCTCTATACAGTATAATCTCTAAATTTTTTACTGAAGTTATTAAATTGTGTAAAAAAAAAAAAGAAAAAAAAAAAAAGAAAATTCAGTTTTACAATATCATAATAACAAAATAGAAGTTTACAAGTAACAAAGCCTTAGGTTCCATCTTCAATGTTTAGTTAGCAGCATTCATAAACACAGAGATTAACAAAAAAACAACAAAAAAAAAAGATACCTGATAAACCAAAGTAAATAATCTGATATCATTAGCCAACATCCTTTTGGTGTCAGTTTAAAACTGACACTGTTTGATATTTCTAAATTATTATAACAAAGTATAATTTTGGAAGCTAAAATTTTCACTGAAATATGTTGGAAATTTTTCAAAGTTTTCATCTATCAAGATAATATGAACTTTAAGCAAAATGGACAAAAAAAATTGATTGATTCATTTACTTTTTACAGCTTCCCAACCCATCGCAGGTTATTTAAAGCCAGAAAATATTTTTAGATTGTAAGAATTTTTTTTTTTTGAGATAATAATGATTTAGTAATATAAGTCTTACTAATTAACCTATAGCTTGGAGGAGAAGAAGTAGATTCATACCTTTCCCAGAAGTATTTGCATGTAAGTGAATATAACATTCCAATGGGAATTGGAACTTGGCTCTCCAATTAACAATTCTGAGCCATTATTCATTATACCACCTGCACATTCAAGCTTACAGTACCTGATATTCCCAAGTGTTCACCCATCTAGGTACCGACTCAATGCTGCTAACTTCAGTAATTGTACAAGGAACTGGTATTTCAACATGATATGGCCATAAGCCCAAATCATTTGATGGGTTCTTTTTCTGTATAAGTAAACTGTAATTATAAACTATGATTTTGGTATGTGAAAATTTAATTGAAAATATATAAATAATTTTTTTTTTTTTTTTTTTTTTTTTTTTTACAAACTTTAAGCAAAATGCCTGCGACATCTGGAAAAAAGAAGACATCAGCTTAAGCAGACACCAGGAGGAGAAGGGTTAATAGTAAATTAATACTTGTAATATTTACAGTCTATATTTATAACTATCTTCTAGATACTAGTCATTGACCTTGAAAGTATTTCCTTTAAATGAAAACTAAATTTAATTGATTTAACCACAAAAAATTTCCAAAAATACAAGTCAGAGCTCTGAGAGAGAAAAAAAAAGAAGATAGAGAAACTTATTATTCTATTTTTATCAATGTCAAAAGTATCTTTACAAGAACTTAAAATTGTCCTGTTTTTTTCTCTTTCTATTTGTAGAGAACTTCTGAATATTCAAATATTATTTGTTATATTGCAAAGCAAGTGTTCATATAATTCAAGGTAAAATCTACACTTTTTACAAATCAAAACAAAGAAAAAATTTAAAAAATCCTTACCTGACTGAAAAGAATCCTCAGTGTCACTCTCAGAGCCTCGAAGCCTACACCTGGATGACCTGGACGATTTGAATGACAAACTACCATTTCTCGCACCTACTAAAGGCCTTGGAAGTTGACGAACAGGAGAAGCCCTGTAGCTGCTGCTGATAGAAGTTTCAAAACTTCGGCTGTATTCATCATTGGTGGCTGTATCATCACCAGATTCTGAAGCAGAAGGTCTATTAAAAAGAAAGAAATAGCAACAATAATAATTTTTCATCCAGTAAATCAAACCCAAGAAACATTTGAGAAAGAAAAGCTCCATATATTCATTTTCTGGATTGAGAGAGAAAGTTACTTCAGTTATTCAAAGTCTGTTTGATTTACTGAATTACTTACTGAGTGTCATTTTCAATAAATATCATCTTAAATTTTCTTTATTTCGCTGTTCATATTTTTATTACAATTGGAATAACACAGTAACCTTCTCTGCTGTATTTGCTTAGATCTCATTAAAATGAATACTAATCATTTTTATTCAGTTTATCTAGATTTTCAAATTCTAGATAAATAAGAGACTAACAAAATAAAAAAAAATGGTTCAAATTTTAATCATTTTATTTTATCAAAACTTAAAATTTATTTTTCAAATGTCCTCTTCTAAGGGAAACTCTTTGGATCTTACATATTTCAATGATGATTCAATTAAGTAAGAATTGTATCAGTCAAATTTTTAACATAACTATGTGGCCAATCTACCTAGGTAGCATTAGAACTATAATTACAGATGTCAAAACATCATGACAAGAGATAATTATATTTATCCTGTAGATATTTAAACAAAGGGATGAACAAAGTGGGTTTGTGTAACATATTTCAAGAAAGTTCAATGCTGAGAACTTGAGGTGCTTTATATAAACCACATGTGTCTAGCTATTCTAAAAATATATATCTGAGAGGTGCTGAAAAGTTCTCAGCCCAGTCAAGAAAAATGACTGAGAGCTATGAAACATACATGGTATTGATGAATTGGAATCAAATACAGATCAAATATGGATTGGAATCTGACAGAATGATACATTAAAGAACAAATAGGAAACGTTTATCAATCTAACAGGATTCACTTTTATTAAAGCTTCATCAGACAATGAGATATGGAGAGAAAAAAACTCTGGCATTTTTATTTTTGTGTTGTTTGATTTTCATTGATTAAGCAGGCTTCCTGTGCATTTGACTTGTTAAGCAGTATTAGTATAATTTATGGAGTTCCAAACTCAAGGAGAGATCGACTTGAGCACTGTAACGATACTTATCCCTACATACCCTACCTTCTGTATCAAGAAAAAGAAAATGGACATACCATAACCATGCTTAAACCACCAACAATGAAGTAAGTATAAATTTGTCTTTGGTTGTTTCAACTCTGCACAAGGCTGACTTGAGCTTGACCATTATAATTATGTTTATCCTTACTTACCCTAACTTCTGAACCAAAAAGAAAATGGACATAACCAAGAGATGAGAACTTTGTTTCACTATGGTTTATATATTAAAAAAAAAAAAAAAAAAGAAAAAAAAGAAAAAAATGAATAAGCAGTTCGTAGTAGAAACCCAAGATTTTGCATGCTTCTTTAATTGTTTGCATATGAACATGTACCCCACCTATAATACACTCAACACATAACCTTTTAAAAAAATCCAACAGTTTTATATCTATTCTGATATAAGATTTTCTTATTAGAACTATTTATACGCTTTTCTATTTCATGTAAGGACAAACAAATTGACAAACCATGAACAGAAATATATGAATCATAATACACAGTATATTTGGCGGCAATTGGAAGCAGCAAAATAGATGTTATTAATTACAGGCACATCATTTAACAAGATTTTCAATATCATTTGCAAGGGCTGACAAGTTATATATAAACAATAACTAAGATGAGGTCATTAGTCAGAATGTGAGTAATAATTTGCAAGGTTAGGTAGAAAGAAAACATGACATGATCAATAACTTTTGGAATTAATCAATTTCGAATATTGATTAAATAGATGACAAAAAAAAAAATTCAGACGTTTACTTGAAGAATGAAAACACATTTTTACTCAACCTAGTTTACCATGAAAATGTGACAAATTTCAATTTTGATAACATTAAAATATAAAAAGAAAATAATAAATAAACTTAAATTTTAATAAAAAATTTCCTGAACCATACATGTTATAAAAATTAATTTTGTTTATCATATTAGTCTACTGTATCCAAATACACCATAAACATTGTCAATTTATGTCAAATTCACTGCTAGTCACTTGTGATTGAAAATCAAGCTTTGTTTATATAAATATAAGAAATTAGGTTTTAGAATAGCAATTTGTTTTTATATTGTACCTTGTCATTAATTTATAGTATTCTTTCAAATTAAAAAGACACACGACACATTTGAAAATTTTTTGCATATTTTCACAAAGACAGAGAGTAAAAAGAAAAACTACCAACCAGTTGATCACATAATTTTCCATTTTGTAGCAATTCTAAAAATAAAATTATAGCTAAATCAAAATGGTTTATGTCAACAATATTCATTTTTCTCTCAGGCATCTTGTCTTTCCTCCCTCAGCTCAGAAATTACTAAATATAAGTTTCACAGTTACTTATATTATTTAATTCACTTCTTTTTCACACACACACATATATATATATATATATATATATATATATATATATATATATATATATATATAGTAAAAATTAACAGAATATGACAAAGTTCAAAATAATGTGCTCTAAATTACTTCAATATCTGTTAAATTTTGGGCAAATTTGGACCTTCATGCCCACAAAAAATGTAGTAGCAAAAGGACAGTTTTTCCATTGACACTGCTATTATTTTAACTACCTTCACTCCTTGGCAATTTTTTTTTTTTTAAATCAATAATAAGAATTGTAATAAAACTTAAATATATCAAGTGAATTTATACATCTTTTTTGTTTTTGAGGATTTATGCCCAAAATATTAAACATTATTTATTTACTAGATTATTTACAAGAACAATTTTATATTTACCACATTCTAAAAACTAATACAATTAAAACTAATGCAATGTAATATTTATCATTTACAAAGAAATAAATACAAAAAATTTTTATTCATAAATTTATAAATATTTACTACATTATTAAAATATGTGAACCAAATATAAGGAAATCCTTAATATATATTTTATAAAGTTTGAATTGATTGGCAATTAGGTAATATTTTGCCAATCATTTCAATAAAGAACATGATAAATAGTGTAAATAAACAATGTAATAAATAAATAGTATTTATTATTTTTGTTGCCAATTTTCAAGAATATAGAAAATGTATAAATTCGCTTTCATATATTTAGATTTTATTACAATTTAAATGCAACATCAATCACCATCTTCTGCCTTCTTGAATCCCGTTGATCTTTTGTCTTTTCCTCAATCCTCCCTATTCTCAGTCTTCTCTTTCATTCTCCATAACACTCCTGCATACTAGTGGCATTCCTGCCTTGTTTGTGGTGACATGATTTAAAAAAAAAAAAATCTGGGCCAAAGCTGTCCAATCCTAATTTCCAATCTTGACAGAATATAAAAGTGTTTCTATGACTTCTGGGTGATGGATTGTTTTCCATCCTTCAACTCCTTTCCCACAGATGAAACATTACATGCTCTATCACTATTTTCATGGCAGATGTTCAGGCAAACTACATTCCTTGGTTTCATCAAAGCTAGGACTTGCCATGCCACATATACCAAGTCAACTCATCCTCATTCCTTTCATATTCCATTGATAAGGAGTAAGTTCTACTTAGATGGTTTCTTGCCCAAAACTCTTGCAATGTGTAATGGACTCCTGAAAGAATACTTCCCAGATCATAACAATCTTAACCTTTTCAAGTTACGGTTCAAGTGTTAACTATCCTATACATTCTCATAATATGCAACCCTTGCTCACTTTCTATATGCCTTTACAACATCCCCATTCAGTAACCCTCTACCTTGAGGGTCAGTTAGGCCTCGTATTGGGTGAACAAAAAAAAAAAATTAAAGAGAATCAAACAGTGATATCATAAAAAAGTGGCTTATGTTTTTTCTCAATCACAAACTCTTTATTCTTTCGCTATAGTCACATTGAAGAGTTTATGAATTTACTCAAACCATCAGAGAACCGAATTTCAGCTTTTAAGCTGTCACACCAAAAATGTTGTTGGACTAAATTATAGGATTTTTCTCTTCCTTTCTTTTTCTTTCATTTTCTCTTTCTTTCTCTCTTATATTAATGGAAACAAAAGAAATCAATACCTAACTCGTATTACATGGTGACAAAACAGAGTGATATTTTTTTTCCATGTATACTCACTTAATCTTCTTGCTATATGAAGAGTTATCCTTCCTTGTCTGCGAATTTATATCTTCTGCAATGGAAGTTTCATTAACACAGGCATATTGCTTTTGCGATTTGCTGTGATTTGAAGCCCGAGAAAATTGTTCTTGAATGTCCTCACTGATAGAGCTTTTGCCACCACTGACTAGATAATGGCCTTTGCTCAGACCTGTAGTAAGGGATGCTGGTAAGGAGGTAGTTGTAGCATTTAATGCCTCTGAAATTGAATGATCACTTGAATGGGAATAGTTATCAAGGCCTGAAATTAAATAAGGAAAAAAATTAATTAAAGAGACTGAAAAAAAAAAAAATAAATAATTATCTAAATCTATAATGAAACTCCTACAAATGGGAAAGAGTTTTAATGCATTGTTAATGCCAGTTACCAAATTTATTTGGCACCAGATCAGCAGGATTTGAAGAACAGGTACTGGAAACAGTGACAAGGAGAGGAGAGGGCTGTTAACTATTCAGTTAAGAGAGTTGCCAATAAAAAAAACAAAATAAAGTCTTTAAGAAAACTGAATGATTAACCTACCAGAGTTAAAAGAAAATCTTTTTTTTTTTACATTAACAACAACTGCAGGTTGTAAGCTGGCTAAAATTTTCAGTAATTTCTATTACTGTATTTTCTTGTGCATAATACAAGAAATTTTGAACAAAAATTAAAGACAAAATGAGGAAGTTATATTATCCACAAGTATGCATTTTCAATAATTTCTATTACTGTATTTTTAGAAATGTTTACTCAGCTTGAAAAAAAAAAAACAAAAAAAAAACAAAAAAAAAACAACCTCTTATTTGAAACAGCAAGACTGTAAATACACTCAATTAGCACAATAGATAAGACACAAAGTAGAGGCAGGTGTTGATAACATTTATTTACAAAAGGTATTTCATACATCAGTAAAATTTGTTCTTTGGGAATCAGCATAATTGAACATCTTTTGTCTCAATTTTGCTGACAAAATTATGTTTGTATCTTGATTTTATTGTTTTGTTATAGTTTTTTTTCTTCATTCTTAATGAATGACAATTTTTTTTTTAAATTTTATAATTTATTAATATATATAGAAATATAATAAAATCATATCAAAGTATGATAGATTAATTTACACCTTAAAATGTATTACAGCTATGACTACTTAGCACCTTTCCCTGAAAATTCGAGAATAAGTTTTTAAATGTAAATTAAGAGAAGAAACACACAATAGCTAAACATCCAGTTCATTTCTATTCTTTAATATCATGAAAAATTAATTATGTTAGTGAATTATATATACGACATTGAGATTTTAATTGATAGGGTACAACTTTTAAAAAAAAAAAAAAAAAAAAAAGAAATTACATAGGGGTGGCTACACTATGGGGTTGTATTATACTCAAGGATGTAATTTACTCTGTTTTTTTACTTTAGAAACATGAGTTTGCATTATGCACAAGAAAATACAGTCCTGTTTGTTCATCAAATATTTAAATTAAAAGAGCACATTAACTTTCCCCTAGTGGGACATATTTTAAGACATTAATTTTGATTATTTTATCAGTATAAAATAAATCTATTCTCTTACTAACAGCTTCTTTTCTCACTTATAGAACTCTTCCGAATTATTGCCTTCCAGTCAATTTTGATCAAAAATTTAAATGCAATATCATTCGTTGCCTTCTGTCTTAATTCCTGTTCTTTTATTGTTCTCTTTCCTTGATGTTTTTTTATTTTTCTCTTATTCTTTCACATTCAGTAATCGCTTGTGTCTTAGTGTCTTTATTGCCTTGTTTTGGGTGAACCAATTAAATAAATAAATAAAAAATAATATAAGACTAAAATACAATATTTTCTTACACATTGTGTTAAAATACAATTTATGACTTATCAAAACTTATTGAAAACTAACATCTCCAACCATGTCAAGGCACTAAAAGATTAAAAGATCCCTAAAGACTTTATATCACTTGCTGTGTACGTCATTACGGACAAGACTGTTCTGTCAATTGGTTATCAAAATTGTAATAAGAGTAGCTAGTCATGAAACAATTTAAAGAAAAATAAAAAAGACTTATCAATATAAAATTATGAATTTTTGTTTTCAATACATACAATAGAATTCTTGCTTAAAATGATTAAACCCCATGTTTTGATATCACAGCATTTTTAAATTCTACCAATATTTAGTTTCTCAACCATGTTGTTCAATATTTATTATAGCTTTTTATGTATTAAAATGTAGAAAAACATTATATAAGTAAACAAATTCATACGATAACTGTTTATCAAAATATTGGTGTAATGACAAAAGTATGCAGGTGTAGGCTTTAAGCTTTATTCAACTGAGAATACAAAGCTTGCATATAGTGTCCTTTTATAGTCCCAGTAAACAGAAATAGATATCTCAAAGAGAGGAGAATAACAAAACAAAGGGAGACCACTCTTGATTATTCATAACAGTTGGAATAAAGACAGTTTAAGAAGAAGTCAATATTGGAAGCTTTTTTATTTAGACTGTCATCCATGTTGTTTTTTTTTTTTTATTTTATATAAGAAGCTGTTCCAATTCATATCTGCAATCATGATTAGCCAGAGAGACTTCACATTTATTAAGAGTGGTCAGTAGACAATTTGAAGTGAAAAGTTTAAGTGGATTTTTGATGGCATATCAACTCTTCAGAGCGATTTTATACCAAAATTGATTTATTTTGGTTTATATTTAGGGGAAATGAACAATCTTGTTTTTTTTATATATATCTTCAGATACAATCCAACTGATTTCAGGAATGTTATAATTCTATTTATTTTAATATTTTCAAATAATTCTTTTAGACAGTTTGCCTTGAAGAAATTGTGTCAATACAAGATCAATGTTTACTTCAGTTAGAAAATGTTTTACTGTATATTGGGTTTGGCATGTAGGACACTATGGTGGTTCTTTTTGTTTCAGTAAGAATGAATGCATAATCTTAGTGTGACCTATTTGTTGTGTTATAATAACCTTTTCCCTTTGGGATTTTCCCTAATAGCAGGGTTTTTTCCTGAGGGTTGGTAACATTGTATTTAATTTATTTTACATTTTCTGTTCCATTATTTGCCATTGATTTTGCATGTTTCTTAATTTGAAGTAAAATGAGAAACTTACATTTTTGGTAAAGCATTAATCAAGCAATTCCTTTCAGTTACAAAAATATAATTTTTGAGTAAAATTAACAGAAACTATGAAAATTGCATTTTCAATAGATAAATTGCTTTCACAAAAGCCATAAATTTAATACTAGAAGTAACACTTAATACAGCAAAAGAGAACTCTATCCACAGAATAACATGATGGACCCTGACCTTTGAACTTGTAAATTGACACTTTCTATAATTTCAGAGAAAATAAATTGAGTTATTGCTTATAAGATTATAAATGGACATGTGGCAGGTGAAAGAATAATACTTACATCTTCTAGAATTATGTCTGTCCCTGTGTTCTGAGAGATCCTCTTTTATTGAACCTTTAATGCTGCTGCTGTTTGCATGTGGTTCATTGCATTTCTTCAAAGTTTCCTTCTTCAACTTGTGCAAATATTTCTCCTCGTGCTGCAATCTCTTCTCCAAAGCTTGAATCTCCAACTTTTTCTCAGCAAGGCACTTCTGCTTTGATACATACCTGGGAGAAAATGTATACCGCTATTACTGTATACTTGCTTGATTCCATTGGCAATGTTTGTTTTAAAATACTAGGCTTAGAATTTTAATAACAAAAATGTTACACACTCTTTAGTTGTTAGATTGTTCATTTACAAGATTATAAAAATATGTGAACCAACGCCAATGCAATATTTATTATTTACCATTTTATAAAGAAACCAATATGAAAAATACCAGCTAATTGCCAATCAATTAAAATATTCACATATTTTTAGAAACTTGTAAATAAACAATCTAACAATTAAATAGTGTGTAATATTTTTGTTATTAAATAAATATTGCTGAGACAATATACAGTAATACCATATTAAGAGAAAAAAAATGTCCTTTTAACAGTGCTATTTTGCAGGTACATAGTTTAAATATTGCAAAAACAAAAAAAAATATAATGATTTGTCCAGATATTTAATAAAGACTTCATGTATGTGCATGTCATATGGGATTGATGAAAAGTGATGCATGCTACTATGAAAAGCTAGTTCAAATATGGATGACTTATAGTGATTCTAGAAAGAATATGTGTATTTCCACAGAACAGCAATATTTTGTAATTCAAACAATGACCATTCTTCAGTATGACAAAAAAGATTTTCATATGAATCCCTTGTCCAGTAGATAAGTATTAAGAAATCTATGCAATTACTTATCAACATACAAAACTCTACACTTGTATGCAAATAATTCACATACTTTGAACACTACATTAAAAGAAAATTATCTACACACACACACACACACACACACACACAAAGGGTGCAACAGAAATATCTCCCACATATACCTCCCAGAAATAACTTTTACAAACTTATCATTATGTGGTAGGTATATGTAAGAGGTATTTCTACCACACCATATATAAAGATATACAAATATACAATTTGTCACTTAGATGATTGACCTTATATTCAGCACCTCAGTGCCGGAGTTTCTTAGATGAACCCCTTTTTATAACTGTTCAGTTCACTCATCAGGTTTCAGCAACTGATAGCAGTTTTTCTCAATTTTCATTATATTTATACTAAGTTTTGAGTGTGTGTGTGTGTGTGTGTGTGTGTGTGGATAACCTTCCCATAATAAATAACATACATTCAAATCAAATGTGCCATTGTTTATTAGCCACCCCTTTTAAAATAGCTAAACATATAAAATCAATTACTGTAAATTGCAGTGTACAAGTTAAATTTAAGATTTTTTTAAATCAAAATTCCAATGTGTGTGTGTGTGTGTGTATTTGAAATTTGCTGAGGAAGAATATTCAATATTATGAATAGAAAATTTGTAGAGATAAGCAATATGAACATAAAAATCAACACTGTCAGTTTCACACCTTCAGAGCATCTTTGACAGTCATTAACTTACAGTATTGACTTATGTGTCCACATTGTGTTTATATGTGTGTGTGTGTGTGTGTGTGTGTGTGTGCACGCACTGACAGATTTAGATAAAACATGATTTTTAACCAAAATATAATCTAGAAACTATTTAAACTTAAAATAATATTGAATAGCGAAAGTTTTCCATACTTGATTGATCCTTGCTGTAGAGCTGTGCATGCAAAGAACAAGACTGACAGGAATAAAAGGATTGCCAAAAGTGGTATTGAATTTGAAAACTATGGCTGGATCTCTGCCCAAGCAGCATCAACAAGAGACATTGTTTTGGCAAAAACACCAATTATAACAAAAAAGAAAAAAGGTTGCTGCTGATTCTTTTCTATAGATGCAGCAGTAACCTTGATTTCTTCAAACTATTTTTGAGATCTGATCAATAAAAAGGCATTTAAATTTATCATTTCCCTCAATTGCCAGTGATAGGAATTTGAATTTCTGCAGCCAAAATTTTCTATCCTATTTTTAATGCTATAAATATTCAGAATTGTAACAAAGATAACAATCATCTTAGATTTCTAAGACTTCACCTCATGAGATCAATTTATGTAGTGTGTGTGTATATATATATATATATATATATATATATATATATACACACACACACACAGGGTGGGGGTGATGATGAATCTGAACAAAAGACCAAATATCAAAAAATCTTTTCGGTGCCCCTTCTTGATTGAGCCAAAAACTTTTCAACACCTGCTCATAATATATGATGTCTACTACTTATGACAACAATTATAAAAGGTTTAATAAAAAAAATTAATTAGAATATACAAAGTAAATGCTAATAAAATTGAAAATACACTGATTAAAGCAAATATGGGAAATTTCAAAAAGCATGAATTGATTGTCATTTCTAAATTTTTTAAAATATTAAAATATTTCATAAAATACAAAGGAAAGTGATAGAAACATTTTACTCCTCATGTTAATTCTTTTGTTACGAATATAATAGTGATCATTGTTTCATTCGACAGATACCTGAAGAAGACCAGAGGGCACAATGGCTGAAACGTTGTGACAATAATAATAATAAAAGTGAGTATATTAGCCTGAATGTAAATAATCCTTAGAAATCAACTGAAAACTTTTATACACAGTTGATTTAATTTCCCCAAGGATTTTGACCCATTCAATTCAAGCAATCACAAGCAATTATTGTGTAGTGAATGACTCAAATCCAGCCTAAAGTTCAAATTAACTCCATTTACATGGTAGAGTGAATAACTGAAATTTGTCACATTTAGACCGTAATTAAATAAACAGGAAGACCTGTTAGTGCACTATGTCAGATTTTATTATGAATCTCAAAGTTTTCACAATAAAATTGCTATTAATCAGCATATAGTGACATTTTTCCAGAATGGATTTATAGCATAAATGTCAATTTCAATATCTAACTATTTTTATTAGAAATATTTACAATAATTTATTTGCTGGTGAGATTTTATTATGCAACTCAAAGTTGCTAATCATTTATTTTTATTTAATATCTATAAAGATTACCATGGGTTAGAAGAAAGTGAGAATTTAGATATTCTAAAATTATTGAATGAAGGGAATACAAAGATGGAAATTGTGAGAAACTTGCAAAGAGAACATAGAAAAATGAGAAAAAATAAATTGGAAACATTGGCAAGAAATAAAAAATAAGAAAATCACAAAAAGAGATTTGAGAAAAATTAAAAGCAAGAAAAATGGATTGATCAGAGAAAATATTTGAAGCAGTTTGAGTTATAAATGTAAACATGGAGAAAAAATACAGAATATTAAGAACATTGGCCAAGTACAACTAAGACCATTAAGTAAAATCATGAAGAGAAATGTGTAAGTTAGGCAAAGGACATGAAAACTGATTTCTAAACAGTAATCTATACTGAAGAATAGAGAGCTACATTGGCTGGATTTAAGGTTGGGTCATTAATGGAAACAAGACTTAGACAAAAATAGCGGAAAGAGAGTTACGTTTTAGGTTAGTACTGCAGACTGTAAAATTATCAGACTCTTCAAAATTGATGATTATATCTATAACACTCTCATGGCAATTATATATAACACTGCTGCTGACCTGATACAGGGTGTAATACTGGTCTAACTCAGCACCACATATAATACCGCTGCCAGGTGCTATTGCTGTCATGGCATCCAATTATAACAACACTACCTGGGGTCAGAAACTGGTCTTATCACTTCTGGTCATTGCTTCTTTGTTGTTTAGTCACTACTTCTTTGTTCAAGCCGATAAGCAATTTTCTATCAGACTTTCCCAGCCCATATTGTGTTTTTCAGATCCTGGAAAAAATGTATCCAATAAAGTCTGCCAGATTTCTGGAATGTGATTAACCATACTAGTCACACTACAGTCATATTACATGTTACAAAATAACACATTTTACAAAGTAACTTCTGCCAAGTAATAAGTCAACACTCTTATAAATAATTACAAATTGGTTTAATTTAAAGTCAGCAATATTCACTACTGTTGATACTGCAAGTGTAAACATTAGCTAATATGGAACCACTGATTTAAATAAGTTCTCTGTACTTCTGTCTGGAAAAGTAATTATTGTTTGGGGCTGTTATGATTTTGTAAATTCTCATTTCTGTTATACTCCACTGCAACTATATCTCTTTCTGACTCAAATCCCAGCTGTACCAACAACACTCTTATGCCTAATCGCAACTAAGTAATCACATACAATTTTTTTCCACCTCACACAACTATGTATATATTCTGAATTTTGATCAATACATGTTGTTCAAGTTTTAATCCTTGCTTGTTTCTTTCCTTTGCAACCATATATACACTTGATATAACACTTCTGATGACATCTTTAACGAGACTCTTCTTTGACAACTTTTCCTGGTAATTCTTCTGACGACTAGCAGCAACAACATGTGACTGGTTTCAAAACACTTGCCCAACTGGTGGCAACTGAACACCTGAATAGACAGAGGTTTCTGTAAAATCCCCCCACCCCCAACCATACTTCATCCTGACTAGTCAGTTCTGACCATGTAATTTTTTAAAGGCAGTGTGAATTTACACATGGGATTTACCAATTTCAGCACCCCAGCAATTTTAGGGATTCTCCAATTTCCTGTACAAACACATTTACCATATCTTGTGATTGTGATGCTGGCATTGTCTATTTTGATGACTTTAACCTCTTGAACTTATCAGCTGTTAGTCAAAATGTTTCAAGTCATGGTTACCATTTTCTAAATTATCTAGAACTCACAGCTGTGAAAGAAAAACACTTTTCTTGCCACGGAAATTGGTATTTTCATTTTATCTTTCAATGTAGTTTTATCAACTCGATCTGCAACATACTTGTAGAAAAATATGACCATAATAGCCTCATCCACATTGTAAAAAATGGCTGAAAATAATGGAAGCATTAATAATAAAAAAGAAAAAGCTAACACTCAATAATGTCAACTATGAACATGGCCACAATGTGCTGAGAATGTTTGAAAGAAAGAAAAAAAAAAAAAAAAAAAAAAAAAAAAACACATTTTCATCATTATAGATACACAAATATAAAAATCTACATATTGTTAAAAAAAAAAAAAAATCCTTGATAATGGCTAATAAAATAGATATATAGAACATTTGGATAGTTTTTGCACACTGTCCAGAAAAGAAAACAATTACAAAAACACAAGAAACATTGAATAAAAAGCTTAATCACAGTACCTTGTCAGTTGTCCTTAATGAAACTTGTGTGTGTGTATATATATATATATATATATATATATATATATATATATATATATATATATATATATATATATACACACACACACTAATAAACATGAATAAGTATCATAAAACAAAAGTTTCTTTTTCCATAGAGTTCCACTGATCACTATTTTTGGCCATTTTTCAATATACTACCAGAGAGATTGAATACAGTCTATCTAATCATTATCTTCAGAAGGGAGAGATTGGTAAAGTGAATGACTGGTGGATGAACATGGATGAAAATAGAGAAACAACAACACATTCATAAATAAAGAAAAAAACCAAAAAATCCCAGATAAATAAAGTATGAATAGAAAATGAAACAAATTTTACCCATGAATTCAAAATAACATCTTTTCATTAAAAAAAAAAAAAAAAAAAAAAATTTAACATTCTTTTCTCTCCCTTATTTTGATGCCATTAACCAATTTGTTGGTACCTTTTGATGTCACCTCTTCTCTTTCAATTGTTTTCCCTTTTCCATATTGTATATACCAAAAAAATAAACCCAACAAAGTCGTTTTGTTTCTAATAAGCTAGCCAAAATAATATAAAGCAAAACAGAATTTCTCAATACTTACAAGAGGAATTCCTTTAAATAGTCAAGTAGGTGAGATTACTTAAGTTATTCAAATAGTTAATTATAAATTTCTGTTTATCAAATTATATAAACTGTCATAAGAAGAAATCAATCATGAAATGAGAAAAAAAAAAAGGATATGAAAATGAATCAATTTCTTTTGAAAAACAAAAAAACAATTTCACTTGAATATTTACTATTAATAGCATAACACTATGAAGGTCACACTCAAAGCTCTACAAACTGAAGCGAAAAAAATATTTATATCATTATATTTACTAGAAAAGAAAATCTGCTTGAGTAAATTGTTTTTGTGTGTGTGTTAAAACTCACTTATGATCTCACCTGACGAGTTTTGCCTGTTTTCATCATCAATAGGAACAAAGTGATTTTGCAAGTCATTTTAACCTTTCAGAGACTATCATATCTTCAAACTTGATAAACTGGTATTGTTGAAAATATACAATAAATACAAGAAACTACTTCAATGAGATTTTTTATCTTAAAAATAATTACAAATACAAGGCGATAAAATTTAAAATTGATAAATCTTATAAATGTCTACTCTTTATTTCATGCTTCATATTCATTAACTAAGATTTCTCGAATGCATAGACTAATAGATTTATTAGACATTGGTTAAAATAAAAAATGGGGCACATATTTCAAATATGAATATCCACTACAATAATGTTTGAAGTAAATGTCGCATTAAAAATAAATTTATTAATTCTTTAAAAATTTCTTTTACAAGTCAGATATGAAATTGAACAAATATGGGCTTTTGAGAAAAATAATTTGTGTGAAGAAGATGTGCTTTCCACAAAAAGGGAAAATAGAGCCTTGCTTAATGTTCTTTGTAGTTTAGCAGTAAAGCATGTCAGATCAGATGATGATGATGATTTCCCCAATAAAAGGGGATGCAGGTTCAATCCCTGCCAGAGGAACATATCTTCTTTATTTAGATTTCTCAAATGCACAGGTTGATAGACATTTGAGAAATCTAAATAAAGATATGTTCTTCTGGCAGGGATTGAACCTGCATCTCTTTTATTAGGGAAATCACCATCTGATCTGGCATGCTTTACTGCTAAACCACAAAGAACATCACAGTTAAGCAAGGCTCTATTTTCCCTTTTTGTGGAAAGCATATCTTCACACAAATAATACACAGTGGTTAAAATAAAAATGAGATGCCTATTTTAAAAATAAGTGTCCACAGTAACAACATTTGAAGTAATTATATATTCTGGATAAATTTAAACCATTTTGTAATTCTGGTCTGATGAGGCAGGTATCAAAAACTTAACTGCTGAAATTTATTATCAGATTTTTCATAATTTAATTTTTTCCTCTGGTGTGTGTGTGTGTGTGTGTGTGTGTGTGTGTGTGTGTGTGTGTGTGTGTGTGTATATAAATAAATCAATAAATAAAGAAAAATATTACGAGAGATTCATTAAGAACTGTTCTTGTCTTTACCTCTCTGCTACCAACCTGTCCATTACTCAATCCTTCTTCAGATTTCTCTACATCTTCCTTTTCTAGTTAAGATATGATCAATCACCATAGACTTATTTTCTGTTCTTTGCTTTTTTTTTTAATCCTTTCACCCCAAGCAAGGCAATAGAGCCACTAAGATACAAACAGGTTGCTAAGAGTGAAAGAAACTGAGCAAATGTTATTAAGGAGAGAGTGACAATAAAAGAACAGGATTCAAGAAGACAGAAGATGATTCATACTAAATTTTTCAATATTGTGGTTGACAGGAAAGCAAGAATCCAGAAAAAAGTTCCACAAGAAACAAGTGTGAGAACAGAAACTATTAGCATAGAACTTACAGTTACATTTGGCAATTTCAACAGTAAAATGAGATCTAGCAGCTGATCTCATACTACGTTTAAATTTGTGAAGTCATAACATCAAACAGGAAAACTCTTCAGAACAATTGCCATGGAAAAAATATAGAAAAGAGAAGCTACGATTTGGCTGTGTGAAAATGATTGAAGATGAGATGCCAGGTCAGGACTGATAACATTGCAGATACTAAAAAATCATCTACAAGTAAAACATAAATGATTGATGCATCACCCTAGAAAAATTTTATTGATTAGAGAATAATCAATATAGAGAAGCAGTTTTTGGCAACAGAATCAACTTCCAGGAGGTCAAGCCAGGATTCAATGTAGACTGGCATCATTTCAATCCCACAAAGAATCCAGAAAGTTTATGCAAAATCATCAACTTAGAAAAAAAAAAAAAAAAAAAAAAATTAAAATAATGTGGTAATAAATAGTCTCCTATTTATCCATGAAAAGAAAGCTTGCTTGTTAATGGATTGTGGTGACTCTTTATCAACTCTTAAAAAGGAAACAAAAATGACTGTTAGGACACAAGACAATCCATGGCTTTTCTCCCATTTACATTTATCCCATTATGGGCATTACTATATCACTAATATAATAACACCGTATTTCACAGACAGAGTGGAATGGCTGAAAGGAAAAGGTATGACAAAAATGCTTTGTTCTCAGAGAGACTTTTATACCACTAAAGCATACACAAAACTATATATACAAATGTACACATGTCCCACACAGAGAATAATATATCCTATATCAAGATAGTCAAGCAGAGTGAAAGGTGAACAAAAATCTAGGATCTTACATATAATATGGAGATTCTTTTGAGTTTCTGGGGAAGCCAGGTTTAGGACTCCAGATTCAAATAGGCTAGATTCATCTACAATGTCAGGTGAGGACATATTCCATGAATGAGAAATGGCAAATCTTGGGTTTTCCCAAATTGAGGACTGTGAGCCAGAGTTTCTGAATCTGGGAAAGATATATTCCCAAAGAGAAACAACACCATGGACTTGTAAATTGTAGCATTTGCTGGAGGAATCAGATTTAGCCTCAGCCTGGGTCCCTTGGCTCAGGCTAAAAAAGCAACCACTGGCTTTGACTGCCATTTTTGTCACTGTATGTAGTGATGTCACTAAGCAGCAGTCACATGACCCACATGACTTATCTTCACCAAAGGGTGATAATCCCCTTCTGTATCCCTACACTAAACTTTTTTTTTTAAATTTCTCTTTTATATATATATATATATATATATATATATATATATACACACACACACACACACACACACACACACACAACATAAAAAAATGAATCAATGTCTAAGCTCAAATATAAATTTTACTTTTATTAACTAATATTCACTGAAAAACAAATTAATTAAAAGTTACTTTTGTTCAGGCTTTTCAAAGTTTCATTGTTTAAAGTAAATTATATTGGAAACATACATGACCCTCACCTAAGTTTTCCACAATAATAAATACATAGTTCAAAACTGACTTTTCAGTGAATAAATGCTAAATGTTTCCTTTTAAGGAAACAGCTAATATTACTGTTACCATTAATGGGGCTTATTTAAACCTTCTACAGGAATTAACTTAAAATCCCGACCACAGGACATGTTTTCAGTTAGTTTCATTAAAAATAAAAAGAACAAATAGAAAAAAAAAGCAAGCACTTACATATCACTCATGCTGCCATGTTCCAGGCTGGATCCACGTCCTTTTGTCCTTTTTGAAGGACCATAAATTTCAGAGTCAGATTTACTGCTGTCTGAAATTAAAATCAAATCTAATGACAACAAAATCTACAATCGTCAGTTGCATATAAAATAACATTCTTTTGAGATGAAAATCATTGAGAAACAGTGTGTGTGTCACTGCCAAACTTAAAATTGAGTGAGATGTGGATCTGGTTATTTGATATGGCATTCTTAATACAAAACTAAGTTCTTCATTCTGTAGACAAGTTTCATTTCAAAGTGATCTTCACTATAAGAGGCCCTGTATATTAAACATCACTCTTTCACTATCAACCTCACCTTATTTAACAGTGGGAATGATGTGTTGAAAGTTTAACACACACACATATATATATATATATATATATATATATATATATATATATATATATATATAGATAGATAGATAGAGAGACACACACACTCATGTATAGGCTCAGGATAAACACTCCTACTAGTATTCAAAGAATGTACAAAAAAAAAAAAAATTCAGTCAAAACATGAAGATGAATTAACACCTAAACCAAAACCTTGGAAATGGCTAAAGAAGCATCCAAAAGCGCTTGGGACCATGGACAATTTTTGCACTCCCTTATTCCACTCCCACTAAACAGAAAAATGTAAGAATGCTGGAAAACCTAAATAAGAAATTAATCAAAGATTTTCCTTGTCTGCCATATTTAACAAAAGATGTTCAAAAGAAAGATTGCTGAACAAATATACATTATATATATTAGTGAATATTGTACTGTTTTTTTTCTCAACTAAACCTCATGTTACAATTTGTTTACTATTCTTCTTAAAAGATCTACCAATTAACCAGTAAAAATAAGATTAAACAAAAACAATTTCTTTGTAATATAAAGGGTGATTCCAAGAAAATGGAATATATTCTATGGGAAGTGCCTTTATTAGAAAGATGGTGTTCCAAGTTTGTGATGACAGGGATGGTAAACAGTTCTGTTTTCCTGATAAATGTACTTCTATAGAAGTGATGATAATTTTCAAATCACCAGGTATGTGTGCGTGTGTGTGTGTGTGTGTGTGTATATATTTATCACTTTAAACATTACCTTTTGTGGATACCCATCTTTGAGTAGACACTGTTTATTTTAAACAGTAAATTTATTTTCGTCTCCTGACCTGAATATTCAAGAAATCTTATTACAGAAAAAGAAACTGTCATTAGATCTCACGTAACTCAGCCATGAAGGGTGTTGCCAATTGAGTAAGGCTGAATACTGCCTTTTAAGCACAATCTTTCTTGTCCTAGATTCCTAAAAGTTCATATCTACTTAATTTCATATCCAAAATTTGAACAAATTTTAAAGAAGTAATGGATTTTTTATTTATTAAACCCACCACTGGGGAACAAATTTCAATTTTTTGTCTATTGAATTAGATTTGACAGTTTTATGAAATTTGGGTGAGCTGAGCATAAATTTTGACTTAGTTTTACTCAACACCCCCTCCTCTTTCATTGCATACATAAAAAGGTTTTTTCTCAATACTCACTAAGTCTTTTTGTAACACATTATGCAACTAGGTTTTTATCTAGGTATTTCTATCTATTGTTATAGTATCGTTGTATTATGTATACTTTTATATATACCACCCTAAAAATATTTTTAATTTTATCAATATTTAACCTATTTTAATATTAATAAATTAAACTAAAAATATAGAATTCTAGAATTTTCTTGAGCATTCCTTTTTTCTATAGAATATTCTAGAGGGACAACTAAAATATATAAAAGCAACTCATTTCCAGAGTTAATCAGCCAATTCAAATCAGTCAGTTAATTAAGTTTGAGTATTAACATAATTTTGAATTGGCATATGATTTAGTAAGTAATTTTGTCATTGTGATTTAATAGATGATTTAATTAGACATAATTTATATTGTACCTTTGCATAGATTGTAAGTACCTATTTCATAAGTTCCTATTTAAACCAAGGTGGGAATTTTCGACAGTTCACAAATAAGAACATTAATTAAAGACAGCAATTTTCCTAATGTCATGGACATAATAGAAAATTTTTTTAGGTAATTATAGAGTAGATAATTATGAAGAAATCCTAAAAAATTTGTAAGGGAAAACAAAGAGTTAGGTTATATATTTTGAATAGACATCTTGACCAATTTTCAAGTAATTTAGGTGATCTAAGTAACAAACTAGCTAAAAGATTCCACCAAGACATCAGAATTATTTAGGAACAAGGCTGCTGGGATTCTCATATGATGGCTGATTACTGCTGGTATTGAAATCAAACTTGTCATCAACAAGTAAATATGCTAGAAAGTCTTGTAAAAGAATTTTTGCCACAGTGAAATCTTCATATTGTTTTTTTTTTTTAAGTCATTTCTATCATTATAATTTAATTTTACTGAAAACTGAACTGCTTGTATTCATGAAATGTGAAAAAAGTTTAACACATGATTTACTTTTTTTTGCATTGATTTAAAAAATCTGGAAAATGACACATTGGCTGTTGATTAGAATCAGGACCTAATAAAGCCAAACTGAGTTGAAATTTGTATTCAGCACACCTAAATTACCTAAAATCAAGTGTCAGATATCATTCAATAAAATATGTGTTCCCCAGTGTTGTTATCACTTTAAATTTATTTTAGTAAAAATAACATTTACAGTGATAAAAATCTGTCAGATTAATAAACAAAAAAAAATCCATTAATTCTTTATCTATATAATAAATGCGAATGTCAGTGTGTCACACTTTTTCAATTAAAGGGACACAACTCTAATTTTCAATAGCTCATCTTACAGAAATTTTGGCTTCCGAAGTTTTCATTACTGCAATTTTTTTTTTTTTTTTTTTTTTTACATGATTTTTTTTTTGTGACAATTTTTTTTTTTTACAGTAACAATTTTTGTAAGTTGGAAATAAATTTGGGAATAATTGAAATTAACTGTGAAATCCGGCAAAGTCACCCATGAAATAAAAATAAGGACAGTAAGAATTTACATCAAATTGTCTTTATAAAGTGGCAGCAGAAGAATTATCGTTGAACTTTTAAAAGGTAAGCTTAAATATTAATGCAATACTTAAATGCAGCAATCAATTTTGATTTCTTCTGTAGTTTATTGTTGCCTATCACATACGGCAGTAGCATGCCTCACAAAATAAAAAAAAATCTCTGCCAACAGAGGACCAGATAGCAGTCAAAAATGCCAAGGCTGCAGCAAAGAAAAGAAACTCCCAGGCAAATGAAAATCCAGATCAAACAGCAGCTAATGCTGAGAATATGCAAAGACTTAGGAACTCTCAAACTCCTGAAAAACCCAAAGGCCCAATCAAGAGCCCTCCGATATAGGTGGAGTGTGTGTGTATATATATATATATATATATATATATATATATATATATATATATATATATACACACACACACACACACACACACACACACACAAATTAGAATTTGGAAAAAAAAAAAGTCATATTTGATAGAGAAGCAGAAATAATTCTTACCTCTGTTTCTGCTTTCAGAGTTAGCCTAAAAAGATAAAGTGATATAAATAAGAAAGATTACAAAAGTTATTTGCAAGTATGTAAAGAAGTACAGAGCAAAAGATATGATTTGACACACACACACACACACACAAAAAAAAAAAAACAGCCATTCTTAAGAATTCACCATTTTAACTCTTGGAAACTTTCAAAGATTAGTAAGAATTAATGTCATTTTTGCCAAAAAATAAAATATTCCATGATTCCAACATGGAAAGTATAAGGCTATAATATATATTCTTTTAAAGTTAACACTTGCCAAATTATTTCATATTAAAATGGCATAGTTTTGTTTACTGATTTTAATATTAACCGCACAAAATAAGCAACATAGCATATTGGACCTTTTTATTTTAAGAAAAGTAAAAATGCAACTCACTAAAAAAGAAAAAAATGAAAAGGACTTCTGCAGTTTATGAAGAAGGTATTATGAATAATCAAATATGTCAAAAGTGGTTTGAGAAGTTTCATGATACTCTATGGTGAGGTAAACCCAATGAGGTTGATAGCAATCAAATGAAGACATTAGTTGAAAATCATTATGATGGCAGACTGCAAAATAATGTGACTTGATAGGAGTCATCAAATGTACTCTTCACAATAACAGACTTTAGAAGAAACTGGAAACCCAACCCTAAACAAGAATCAAAGGATAAATCTGTAATCCTGTTCAAAAGACTTAGGAGGAGTGTAAAATGGATGATAGGCAGACCTATCTACTAAAAGTTAAATTTATTTAGTTATTTATCAAAAACTTAATCATCTACATTTTCAATAACTGCAGTCCGAAAGGAAGTTACATTTTTGATTTCACATTCAAAGAAATGTGGATTTCTCCTACCCCCAAAAAAATACTTGAACAGTTGTTTTCAGCTTCTTTGTATTGGAATGCTCTACCACTTACGTTCTAATAATCAAAACAAGTGAAAATCTGTCAGTGCTAATATGGAGAATGTGGAAGAACCTCCTATCCTAAAAATGTTATTTTTTCTTGGGTTTGTTTTGCAGTGTGTGCCATTGCATTGTCATGCTGGGGAATAACATTTTCTGTTTACCACTTTCGATATGATGCTTAGTTTACCCAATCAAGTTTTTGACAATAAATGCCTACAATGATGGCCTTTCCATGTTCCATTAGCTTGCAATAGATGACACCTTTCATATTCCACCAAACACAAAGCATGGATTTCTGTGAATGGAATCATTCTTTTGGTGCTAACACTGGCTTCTCATTTTGTGATAACAACAATATCTTTTGATTTCTATTGACATACAAAACCCATTTTTCATCACCTGTAACAATAGGATGCAAAAATGAAAGGCTGAAATTTTTGATTAAAAGATTTTTTTTTTATAATCAGTATCATACCATGCAAGGCAGTAAGGCCACTAAGACACTAGGAGTTCCAGGGTGTGGAAGAATTAAGAGAAACAACAATGAGTGGGAAGAGAAAAAAGTAATCAGATGGACAGTAGATAGCAATTGACATTGCATTTAAATTTTTGCAGATTAAAGTTGGCTGGAAAGCATAAAGCTGGAGGAATTCCACCATGAAAAATGCGAGAAAAGAAACTGTTAGCATAAAACTTATGGCTACATTTAGCTAGCTCAACTGTAAATTGATGAGATCTTGATGCCATTCTAGTGATGCACTTAAATTAAAAAAGTCTAGGTACCATAGAAAAGAGCAATATTTATATTGTTTTAATACAAAAATGTGGCACAAGGCCAAAGGGGGGAATTACCATGAAAGTATTTATAGAAAAGACAGAGAGGTAACCTTACAGCAATGGGAAAGTGACTGAAGCCAAGCCACTAAATCAGGACCAATAATATTGCCGATTCTTCTGCTTTGGATTTTATCAAGGAGCTCCAGGAAAATAGCAGGGGCACTAGATCATATATGGCAGCAATATTCTAAGTATGGATGAATTGTAGACTTATAAATATGCAAGATATATTTCGGAGAGAAATAATGTCTCGCACAACACAGTGAACCAACTTTCTTAGCAACTGACCTAGCAATGGATTCAATATAGACTTTCCACTTCATGTCAGCCAGAGAAGGCACAATAAGTCACTTTCTTAGAGATTAGCATCAGCCTTGCTGATGGAAGGCAGAGAGGAGTCTCTCAGATGATTAATGGAAAGAAGTTTAGTTTTGGAGGCGTTAAAATTAACAAGCCATCTTTTACCCCTTGAGGTCGTTTTGGACATCAGTTTCCATTTTGACCTTGTCAGATGCATCAGCCTTACTATTGGGACTGAAGTAAATGGTTGTGTCATCAGCATAAATACTAAGTTGAAAGCTGATGCCATTGGGAAGGTCAATAATGAAAATTAAAAAAGTAGGACTAAGGACAGAGCCCTGGAGGACACCTGCATTAGTACAAAAGGACCTAAATGAGTGGCCGTTCATTTCACGATTTGATAGTAAAGACTGGATCAATTCAAAAATGTGTCCAGAGACTTAACTTTTCATCTTGTGGAGAAGAGCTGTATGCCAAACCCTGTCAAAAGCTTTTGAGATATCCAAAGCTACAGCCCAGGCTTCATCATTTTTATTTAGAGCATGATAGACTCTTTCTGCAATTATTGTCAGTACACCAGCATTTGACCAGGAGAAATGAAAGCCATATTGCATGTCTGATAAAAAGCCATGTGCTGAGAGATGATGAACCAATTTTGCATTGATTAGGACCTCTAGGAGTTTCCCAAAAAGAAGTAGAAGGCTGTTATGGGACCTTACCCATAAGAACATAATGGACTATTCCATACATAATAAATACTGCACCTCAAGAGGAAGCAGGGAGTTCAGTCTGAAGTCTGGAGTGAAGTCCGTCAGGAGTCAGTCAGTCAAGTCAGAGGCAGTCCGAAACAGTCGCATTCAGACAATTACTACTAAACCTGATTGTTCGTACTAACACTTTTCTACTTCTCTGTATATATTCCTATTTGTAATATATCTGTGTTATTCCATATCCATCTTAGAGTTCTTCTTTATTGGTTCTACCTTGGACTATCACCGTGGTACAAGGAACCAGACCATAACAAAGACTAATAGTTAGAAGGATTGGACGGTTCATCAGAGTTCTTAAAAACTAGAACAACAGATGATGACTTCCAGCAGACAAGAAGGCAGGGGGCAGTGAGGCATTTATTATACACTTTAGAGAGAATAGGGGCCAGTTTGGAAGCACACTTCTTAATGACTATTACAGGGATACCATCGGGTCTACATACTTTGTGGGGATCTCATTTAGAGATGATAACAGAAACCATGGAAGGAGTTATGTCCATATCACTCAATAGAGACTCAGTTCTAAGTGGGAAGTTAGTAAGATGGTGAAATATTGTATTTGGTTCTCAAGCAAAAACCCAAGCAAGTTTTTCCCAATATGTTTGAGATGTTCATGTACAGTTGAACATAACACATTAAGTTTTGGCACCATATTTCGGGTTCTTTGACATGGATCCAATTCAGTAGTTTTTTTCAAAAGTTCTTCAGTCAGAGTGAGTAGTCATCTCTGTCACAATTACTATTTTTAAACGTTTTAAGCTATAACTAACCTATGCAAGCATTCACTGCACCTGTATACAGTGAACAAATGTTTTTAAATGTCTTTGTGGCAGTACTACACTAACAGAAGTCATACAGAAAGCAATAGCAAATATTTTGCTATTTCATAGTTATAATTCTCCTTGGGGCTAAACTCTGAAATGCACTATAAACAACACATCATCAGAGAGAAGATAGGATAAATTAATTCTAAATGCAGTTTCTTGCCATGTAAAATGCAGAAGCCTGATAAAAGGGTGTCTTAAACTCAGTATAGAGTTCAATATTTCTCATGTTCTGTAGAGAACCAAAGTATCTACAAGGACCTTCTTTTAACTTAAAAAAATAAGTATAAAAAAAATAACATCAATATTTATCATATCTGCAGGGTTTTTTTTTTTTTTTTATACTCAGTACATATAGTTGGATTTTTTCAAACCGATTCATCAATTATTTTTGCCTATAAGAATCTTTGGTTCAAAATTAGAGCTATTAAAATACACACCTATAGAACTCCTAATGATCATAGATCTGTGCAACCACAGCACAAGATATACCAACTCTTTGGATCTGTGGCAGCCCAATGTACCTCTATAACAATTCACAGACCCCTATTATGACAACCTTTGCTATATTCTCATATGTCCATATGGTATGATAGTGTTCCTGACACCACTGACTATTGGTAAGATTTTTTTTTTAAAAATGTGGTAAAAAACTGAATTCTACTGTGGGACTGTGGTAATTTTCTTCTGAATGATTCGGGCTCAAATGGTGACCACTGAAGAATGGACAATGCCAAAGAAAATCACAAATACCATCTACAGGTTTATTACAATGATATATGTATAGGTATATAGATGAGTATGTAGCATTATGATTTCTCACAATTCCTGAGATAGATACTTTTTCCTTTTAACTAAATTTAATGACCAGGGTTTTCCAAGAATCTTGTCTCCAGTTCAACTTTGAATTTTTGAACATAAAATTTTGTTAGCATTTTTACAGCTGTAAAAGTAGGATCCTTTGAAAGACTGACCATCCAAAACATGTCTTGATGGTCCTCCTTTCCAGTTGGTGGAACATGAGTGGATGGAAAGGTGTGGTGGGTCTCCCAACCATATAATGAATCAGACAGCGAGTGAAGAGGTAGTCAGGAGTTTGTTTTCCATGGCCAGAACTTAGAGAAGTCAGTTAGAAAGAATTTGCTTTCTCGTAGCAGAAGGAAGACATTGACAACTAAGTTAGAAATCATATTTTATTTGCTACTTCCAGACACAACAAGTGTCTTGAAAAGCATTTGTCATTGTTTTGTTAATGGTGATCACAGCCTTAATATTGATTATTGAAATGAATCTGGAACATAGTGAGCACCGACGTATTTGCATACAGCCAACCGTAGATGTCATTAAGGCTGGTGCAGCAACATGCAGAATTGCATTACCACACTTGACAGAAAAGATACCTGAGGCAGTGATATTACTTTGATACTATAAATAATAATGGTAAGTGAGTCCCCGCTTTTGTGTAGGTTTCATAGCTAAAAGCTCTTTTTTCATTGAAGGCTTAACAGCGGCATGCATTTTGAATGTAACCAAATGAGAATCAGAAGAAAAACTAATCAAAGCATTTTTACCATCTAGTTTTATTAAGAATCAGTAGTTTCTATCAAGAAGGGCCACTGACCCCTAGCCAGCAACAACGATTCACCTAATGACTGAACCCAGTCCAGACTGAAATGTAGATCATCACTCTAGCAATGAAATAACATAATTTACAGAAAAGATTTTTCAAAACAATCCCAACTGGGTAAATTTTGAGAATGCACAAACCCTCCATCATTTTGTCTCTTAGCAGGTGTGTAAGCCTGGGAACCTCCAAGTTTTACTGACTTTTGTTTAGGCTGTCCCAAGTTCCAATCCTCTCAGGAGCTCATTCAAGTCATTTTATAGGTTTAACCCTTTAGCATTCAAAAATTGTTCAAACTTGTACTGTAAATATTGACTCTCGATGTTTGCATGACTTCCTGTGTTATTTACATATATTATGGCAGAGTTTACATAGAGTGGGTTAAGGTGAGTTGAACATTGAAAGCTGATATTTATGGGGTGAGTTTGGGTATGTTGAATGCTAAAGTGTTAAATTCATATTTTTACCTCATTCTTGTTCTCATATCAAAAGCCACTCACTTATCTTCCAAGTTTTTTTTTTGTCTCTTTGACTCAACTAGATCCAGCCTCAAATCGCCATCCAACTGTTACATGCACTCATAAATATTGATCTTGTTAATTTGCCGTTATACACCCCAACTGAATAGAAGGCCAAAGAATGCATCAGCCAAAATGTAATGACAAAAAGCAAAGATAATTAATTTTAAAAACTTGTAGAATAAAACTGCAAAGGTTAATATCAAAAGATGTAAACTTGTTTTTCTATAGGAAATATTTAGAGTAATTCAAATTATAATAATTACAAATTTGTTTTACTCACCTGAGATTTTAGTAGTGATTTAACTTTCTTATAATGTTCTTTCCTTAATGCTTCTTGTTTGTCAGTTAATTCCTGAAGTTCAGCCTGGGAAATAAAATAAAAATACATTAACATCCTTCATGGTTCCTTTTCTTGGAAGAAGTTAATTTTTATCAATTGTGGATAATCAAAATTCCTCTGGGAATTTATGATCCACTAGTCTCCACCTACCAAATGATAAAGATTGATTGATTCGTTTTCTACCCATAACCCATTTGCAGGTTATTTAAAGCCAGAAAATATTTTTTAGAGTGTAAGATTTTTTTTTTTTTTTTTTGAGATAATGGTTTAGTGATATGTCTTACTAGCAGAGAGGAGAAGAGATGAATTCCTACCTTTCCCAAGGGTATTTGCATGTAAGTGAATATAACAAATCCAACAATAATTAGAATTCAGCTCTCTGATGATAAAGAGGGAAATAATAATTCACAAAAAAAAAAAAAAAAATCATTTAATTTGATTTTCAGATAGGATTATCTGATTAAGTAATGTGCATTAAATAGAATTAAATAAGTTATAAGAGTAAACAATTATTTCAACAAAGAAACAGTTCTGAAAAACAAAGACTTAATTTATTTTTAAATGTCTATGGAAAATTTCTTATAAAGTGAAATAATGTATTTTTCTTGTTTATTTAAATTAATGACAACTTTTTGTAATATTTTCAAAAAGTATGTCCTACAAGTAACATATTAGACATTTTCTAATTTATGATAGACAAAGTATTATAAACCCTTACCATAATGTCCTATAAAATGACAAAATTATAACAGTTATTGGTCTGATTTGGATCATTTTTTTTTTTAAACCAAATAAGGCCAATTGAGAATCAGCCTATGGTGAACAAAGAGTCTTTAGTAACAGTTATAAAGGAAAAATATTCAGGATCTTCATAAAAACAAACCAACAGTTCCAAGTGATAATCATCATCATAGCCATATTTTTGGTTGAGCCAGGACAGAGATTAATCTCGCACAAAGCAAAATAGGTCCTGCCTGACAGAGGATCTTAGTTTGCCTCTCCATGTATGACTATCACTAACAACAGCTAGTCTGAGGATCAATTTTGCCTTGTTCTTCCAAAAAACATCCTCCCAAGTCATCTTGGTCTGTCCTCTTCCATTGCTGCCTTAAACTATCACCTCATGGACCAGTTTGATAGGCACCTTGCTGCATTCAATATGGCCAGTACAACGTAGTCTACCGCTATGCAGCAGTGACTTAAGGTCATCAAGTCCTAGCTACTTGTGAAGAGAGTCCAACCTCACTTCATCCTCAGTGGACATGTCACACATCTAGCATATCATGGCCCTGTCATTCCACCACAGGCTGTTAAAGTCAGCTGTCAATAGAGCCCATGTCTTGCTGGCATGCAGCATGGCACTGTGAATGCAGGTGTTGTACACACATCCTCTGGTCTTGGCCAGGAGACAGTGAGTTGTGAGGATAGACGGCAAGTGGTGAAATTTCTTCTATGTGACCTGGTGATGCCATCTGAGTACAGTTACTCAGGAAGTAAAGGGGGCAACAATGTTTAAGGTCACTCCAACAACAATCACCTTAGTTAATAGACAGCCATTGATTGATTGTGCCTCACCTCTACAATGTTTACATATGAAGTATGGATTAGGTACTTTTTGTGAACCCAGCATAATCTGCCAGTGTAGGAAATAACATTGTTACCAACACCTGCGAAGCAGACATTGCACAGTTCTTTGCTGGATTTCCTGAGCACATGGAAGATAACAAGACAATATTTTATTGGATAGTCCAGTTTAATTTCACAAGGTACTATGTTTGAACTCAAAATTAAAGTTTCATCTTTATGCTTAAAATTTATCGAATAAAAAAGACATACCATCATTCGAGGCACTTCCTCAAGAACAACTAATTTTCTTTTGACTAATTCTGGAAGCACTTCATCTAACTCTTTCTTAATCAATGGATGTTGAAGACTATTCAACTTCTCTTGAACTTCCTTCAATTTACTCTGCCAAATAGCATCCTGAAAAGAAAATCATTTTTTTAAAAACATATTGAGAAAAAAGATAGAATTGGCAAATAGAAGTGCAAAATAATTTGCAAATTTTGCATGCATGATAAGTATCTTCATGCAAATTAAGAAACTCAGAACTTCTACATTTTTGTATATCAAGTCATTGATTGAACCATGGAAATATTTCTGAGCTGGTCATTTTGACATTGATAATACAGAGTGATATCTATTCTATATTGAGGCATTTTCTTAGAAATTGGACACATTCCAAGAATTTGATCTATTGATCTCATTCCTTTTTGTTTGCCTCATTACATGTTACATTCTATGAACTTCCTCAAGTCTGCTATACAGAGAGAATGACAGGTGGTATCTTTAATTTTTCCAAGCTCACCAGCGGTGCAAAGTAATAAAATGTTGGCCAAAGAGAAGAAAAATGGTAGCAACTAATCTTCGCTTTAGGCCAAAAAGTTGTGTATAAAGAGAACCAACACACCAGGTCGTACTTGAATTTCAACTTAAATCATTCTGTATAGAGAACTACAAGTTTTTTTTTTAAGAAAAAAGTTTGTTGTTGACAAGGTTGGGTGAATGTCTGGAACAAAGAATAAGGGAATGAATTTTGTATAATTTGCCTCTACAGTAAGTCTACCATGCATAAAATGTGCAGCTAAATGATTAGTAAGCATCACATTATAGTTGTTTTCAGCAACACAAACACTCTTCATAAGCTATTTACTAGAGGTGGCTCTTCATTAGAGAAGTAGATGACCAAATACTACATATACAACATCACATGCATATGTGGAAAAGAATATGAGAGAGAAATCAGCTGAGTCTTGAAAATCAAACATGAGGAATACAAGAAAGTCATATCTGACAAAAAGTTGGTATGGCAGATCATATCTGGAGATAGAAAGGATCAAATTACACCCCCCCCCCACACACACTCAGGATGAGGCCCAATTGATCATCATGAGGGGGTTAAGTAAATCAAAAGAACTTTCCAAAAAAGGCCAGTATATCAAAAAAAAGATCTGAGAGCAACACTGCATATAAAACACGAAATAGCCTGCATCACACATTACTGAAAAATGGAATGGGTTGGTCTGATCAACATTTGTGCTACAATTTTACAGTTTTGGTGAACATTATCTGAAATTGGTGATTGCTTCTTGCAATTTAGTTTCCCGACATTTTCAAATAAGGTATGCTATAACTATTTAATGCTTTGTTATAGGTAATACATCACTCAAACAACACCTCTTTAATCCACTAAAAGAGGCAGAGTCAGGTGTACACATTGATGCCTTCAGCAATGGCCAAAAGGATTTTTCTTGAGCTGTGTGTCATGACAACCCCTTATACTAAAAACTGACTGCAATATTTTGCCAAATGGAGGTAGCAAATAAATTCAAAGACTACCAGGAAAAAAAAAAAACAAAAAAAACCTTCTCTTTCTATATAGACTGTACATCTGAAGAAGGCTGTAGAATATACAGGCCAAAATGTTGAGGCAGTAACAGAAACAACAAAAGAATGAGATTAATGACAAAACATTCTTTGAGTGACAAGAAAAAACATTTTGTAATTTTTAAATTAATTTGAAAGTAACATAAATTTATTTTTACTAAAACATATTTGGATTCTTCCTTTTCATATTTCAACATAGTCAGTTATTTTTCTTTGGAGCTGAAGTTGTTTCTTTTATGTGAATTTAAAATAAATATATCACTAAAATCAACAAGATTAGTAAAAGCTAAAAATAAAATAAAAAAACAAAAAAAAAAACAAAAAAAACATTTCCTACAGGCAAAATATAAATTGGGCACCTACAAAAATGAAAAATTAATCAGCTGTAAACAAAATGTCCAGAATTAAATGTAAAAAAGAAACCAATAAATATTACAGAAAAGATGAATTTGGATAGGTAAGATCAAGATGTGTCCATAAGGATAGAATAATGAATATTATAAATAAAAGACTGACTTATAGAAAAAGAATATACAAATGAAGAAAAAGTTTTCTGTGGAAGTTAAAAACTGACAATTATTTGTATACCATAAATATGTAACAACATTAATTAACAAAAAGTCAACTGTTGGTGTCATTGTACAATATATATATATATATATATATATATATATATATATGCAAACAAACAAAATAAGTAGAACACCTGTTGTTCATTGATGAATAGCAAACTTGTGATAAAAAGGTACTTTGTTTAATTTCAAGCTTCACGGGATGTCAGATCAGATTAATGTTAATAAATATCTAACTAGAGAATAAGTAAAAAGATATACAATTTGTTTTATAAGTAAACTGACCACAAGGATTATGATATTTATTCAAATGTGCAATCTCAAAGAGTCAAATTTCAACCATGTTGACATTATCATGATATTTAAAGAACTGATCTCTTCATCTGATAACATTCAAAGAAAACATTTACATGATATCCAAAAACTATAACCAAACACAATAGATAACACAGGTAAGTGACAACCTGACAGCCATGATGAGACAAATAAAAGGGAAACAAAAAAAAATATTTATATACAGTTAACAGACATATGAAGTAAACAAAAAAAAAAAAATGGAAAAAAAAAAAGAATATAATGTACGAACATCAGATTGTAATTGGTAGAAGAAAATATTACACATGAAATACAGAGAAATTATGTTGAGGAATGGCATTTAAAACCAGAAAAAAATCCTTAAGAGTACAAGTGTTTCAATTTACAAACAAATGACAGAAAGAAAAAAAAAACTTTTAAAGTATGTAAGAAACAAAAAAAATAAGTTAAATCTTGAAGGAGAAATTTACTCTATAACCTGTAATAATTGCCACAAGGAATACATAGGAGAAACCTCAAGTAATTTAAATAAAAGATTATATGAACACAAAAGAGGATCTTTTACAAATCACATTCAGTGCATTACTTGTTCACTGTAATAACTGACCATAATTTTGATTTTAAAAATGTTACTTTAAATAAAGGAGAAAGCAATTTACTAAGATGAAAATATACAGAAAGTGCTTTAATCACTAGATCATCCACAAATTTGCATCCAGGTTTAGAACATTTCACCTTTCTTAGCAGATCTTCTATTATCTCAAAAGTGATAAAAACAAACAAAATGAAACTGAATGAAATTGGTTAGGCTATATACCCAAAACATGCATTAAAATAAATTATAAAAATAAATTTAAAAAGATTAAAATTTCAGTTTCCTCTCCTTCATGCACATATGTAGTCACATCAATGTAAGCATCACTTTAGTCCAATGAAGTCCTAAAGGATGAAACGCATCACACAAAAAAATTTTTTCCACTTTGTCATAGATTTTAATAAAACTTTAATGTTAAAATAAAATAAGTAATACAAATCTGCCAGAAGACAAGTAAATCAACAGGTGTCCATACCTCTTTTTGAGCTCTATGTTTCTCTTCTTCTAATTGTACTTTCCAGGCTTCCTTAGATATTCTCTGCTTGCTGGAATGCCAAGACTGTTTGGAAGCAGACATGCTCACAGAACTAGCCTCAATGATGGAACCATCTGTAGAAGACCAAAAAAAGACATCACAATGCATGTAAAATGACAACACAAGTCTTAAAACACAGGCTGTATCATATTCTGTTTGCCACAGAAAAATGCTAACAGACAACGACCTCATTACATACCTGAGGAGTATACTAAATGAAATAGTCAATGAGGGGAATGGTACAAGATGGCAGCATCTGGCTTACCTGTTGGGGTGAGGAGGAGGGTACCTTACTAAGCATATTGATCAAATGAGTAACTGATACTACACATGGCAAAGAGCAGACATATTGACAGCAGAATTTCAGGAATCACATCAGTAACCACCCCACAACCCTGTTTGACTCCTTTACATCACTAGTTATCTCCCCCCCAATGGAGAGCATTTAGCAGGCAGAACAGATTTTAGTTTAATGATTTTTCACTCCCCACTATCAGCATTCCATTATTTTTCACATTTTTTTTTAATATAGATTTTTTTAATAATTAAGTCCTTCTTAACTGAAATCAAATAAGTCTCAATGCAAAAAATTCAGTATATTATTCTTTTAAACATTTTAAAGACAATAGAATAAAAAATGTCTATTGTTTTTAATAATACATGTTTAAATGCCAAAAAAATACAAACATTCAAATATTATTATTATCATCATTATTATTTGTGTATTATTATATGTTAATAAAATACTTTAGTTCCATCATATAAGAGTGCCCATTTGGTTGGAGTATCTATAGCTTCAAGCCACTCTTCTCAGTCAATGTCTGAAATCATTTTGAATTCCCATTAAACATTTTTTTTTATTTTTTTTTATTTAAAAACTGCTTTAGGAATATTATAACAAAAAAATATTCATAACTGATATTTTTTTATTGATATCGTTTTATATTAAAAAGTATATATATATATATATATATATATATATATATAGTAAAAACACACACAATCTCTCTCTCGCCCCAAGCAAGGCAGTAAAGCCACTAAGATACAAAGGGTTACTGGGTGTGGAAAAATTAGGAACAGAAACATTAATAATGAGCGGGAAGAGGAAAGCGTAAACTGTTAGCATAGAACTTATGGCTACATCTTGCCAGCTCAACTGTAAATTGATGAGATCTTGATGCCAGTCTAGTACTTAAATTCAAAAAGTCTAGCTACTATAGTAAAGAGCTCATCCAAACAATTATGAAAATATTTATAGAAAAAACACAGAGAGGCAACCTTATGGGGGTGGGCAAGTGACTGAAGCTGAGCCACCAAATCAGGGCAGTTAATATTACTGATTCTTCTTTGGATTTTCTCAAAGAGCTCAAGGTAAATAGCAAGGGCACTGGACCATATATGACAGCAATATTTTAAGCATGAACAAATGGTAGACTTAAACTGTCTCACATGACACACTGAACCAACTTTCTTAGCAGATGATTTTAAATAGATTCAATATAGTCTTTCCACTTCATGTCAGCTGAGAACATTAGCTAGAGAAAGCACAACGAGTCACTTTCCTGGGGGTTAGCATCAGCCTTGCTGATGAAAAGCAGTGAATGGTTTAGTCTTGGAGGCGTTAAAATTAACAAGCCATCTTTTACCCCAGTTAACAATGGACTCAAGGTCATTTTGAACATCAGCTGCCATTTTAACCTTGTCGAACAGATCAGCCTTATTATTGAGACTGGAGTAAATGGTTGTATCATCAGCATAGATACCAAGTTGAGAGCTGATGCCATCAGGAAGGTCATTAATGAAAATTAAAAACAAAGTAGGATTAAGAAGGAAACCCTGGGGAACACCCGTGTTAGTTTGAAAGGATCTAGACGAGTGGCCATTTAGGATAACTTTCATTTCATAATTTGATAGGAAAGACTGGATCAATTCAAAACTGTGTCCAGAGACACTGTAATTTTTCAACTTGTGGCAAAGACCTGTATGCCAAACACTGTCAAAAGCTTTTGAGATGTCTAAAGCTTCAGCCCAGGCTCATAGTTTTTTATCTAAAGCATGATAGATTCTTTCTGCAATTATTGTCAGTACATCAGCAGTTGACCTGGAGAAACAAAATGAATATTGCTTGTCTGAAAAAGGGGCCTACAATGAGAGATGATGAACCAATTCAGCATTGATTAGGGCCTCTTGGAGTTTCCTGAAAAGAGGTAAAAGGCTAATAGTTGGAAGGGTTGAACAGTTCACCCATGTTCTTAAAAGACTGGAACAACAGAGGATGACTTCCAGCTGGCAGAAAAGCAGGAAGCAGTGAGGCATTTATTATACAGTTTAGAGATGACAGGAGCCAGTTGGAAAGCACACTTCTTAATGACTATTAGAGATACCATCAGGTCCACATGCTTTGTGGGGATCTAGGTTAGACATAATAGCAGAAACCAGAGAATGGGTGATATGCATATGACTCAACATAGCCTCAGTTCTAAGTGGGGAAGTTCAGCAGGGATACGATACTCTAGGTGAGTCAAGAGTAGAGTTTAAGGAGAATTTACAGGCAGAGCATTCAGCTTTGCCAGCAGCAGATTTTTTTTTTTTTTTTTTTACCTTCACTGAATATTTAGTGTATGATAAAAATATTTAAAAAAAAAAAAAACTTCATCTGAATCCTTCAAAATATTAAAATATCTTATTAAAAAAAATGAAAAAACACACATACATACACACAAGCAAAAGAGGTTTGGGTATGCAGCCTTAGTAAATGGTAATAGACATGAACAATTTGATATGAGGAATAGAACATCAAAAAACTGGCCTACAGTTTTTATTTGGGAGATGAAGTTAACATAGGTAAATATTGCTGGTTCTGCTACAGATCTACGCATATTTTCAGTAAATACCAGTTACATACAAAATATTAAAATAACTGAGCAATAAAAGAAAGAAGCTCTTTTAATAAGAAAACTAAAGCATGCAGTCCAAACTAGCTAACCCTTTGTCTATTTAAATCCTGTTTGCAATTGTTATCAAATCAATGTTTTCACTTTGTAACTCAAATAAGTTGAAGAAATTTAAAAAAAAAAAATAAAAAAAAATACATTTTACTTGCTAAAATGAGTATTCATTTAGAGGCAATAGCACCTGATTATGGGTTAAATAAAAGGGTAGACTAAGCTTTCTAGCCTTGATAACATAACCAAAGAAAAAGACAACTGAGAATATAAAATCATGGTAAGAGGAAATCAGTCCATTATCTCTCTCAAAAAAACAACCATAACAGACATTACAGAAAGAGGAAGCAATAAAAATTAATTTAAGAACAGTTACAAAGAGAATCAAATTCAGAAATAACTAGTAAAGATTCAGTAAAATTGAGCACAACCAAATTATCCCCAACTTATCCACTTCCCTCCGATAAGACATAATTATTGCTGGAATTTCTTGATCTGGAAATCCCAAATTCAAAGTTTTTTTATATTAATACTATTCACCTAAAACACTTATATTCTTACAGGAAAATAGTAACCTAAATTCTTTAACAAAGAAAGCCATGTGGTTTACGAAATGATTTCCTAAAATAAGATGATCGGAGATGGAAAAATAAGATACGCCAGTGTCAAATTTGGTGTGGTGGATCTATATAAACAAAGACCCATAGGACACAGACAGTCATCTCACATTTGCTCTGAACTTGATCATCATAGACACCAATCACAGTCAAAAGAACACACCCACATTCCCATGGTCAAAGCAAAATCACAAACATGCAGAATAGAAGAATTAAGTGAGAGGTGAACAGCTAGTCCCGCTTCAGCAATTACTGCTAGATTTCTCAGGCTACCATCAGGCAGAATAGAACAGTCCTTCAGTAGATAATAGAGACATGCATTCACCAGTTTTAATATTCCATGAACTTGTTGTTAGTGTTATCAACAGTGTGGACTACTTTATTGAAGTTCTCATTCCAGCTTTGATTTCTGATGTTATCCTGGACACAAAGAATCCACTTTCTATAACTGCAGTCGAGAATTGTTCATTTCTTATCTGCAGTACACAACATATATTTTGATCCACCACTAGACATTGCTGTCAACATCTATATTATAAGATTCTGAGAAACCCAAATCAAATCTACCAAGATGACGCAAAAGCTTCAACCAAGGTGGGAAAAGATAAGTTAGATGACCCATACAGTCAGTGTTACTCAACACAGTAGAGATAGCAACTCAAAGAAGTTTGAGGATTACATAAAATGTTCAAACCCACTCTGTAAATACTGGCTCCCAAAGTCTCACTGTGGTCAAAGTTTCATTGTTTGCATTATTTCCTGCATTACTTACAAAGATGTCATCATATATTATAGCAGAGTATACATGGAACAGATTACAATAGGATGAACATTGAGAACCAATATTTACAAGGCGAGTTGAATGCTAAAGGGTTAATACTGTTTGAATGCAAAATGACTATTGTCATCAGAAAGATAGAGTAGCTACCATCTTAGAGATAGTACCTAAGTTTTTTTGCAATAACATTAGCAGGGATTGACTAGGAACATGTAAATTATGGGCATATATCAGTATCAGACAAAAACTGTAGATGCCCACAAATGATGCAAAAACAGAAATACCATTGAGTGACAAGGATATTAACCACCCAAGGTGAACAGTGAAGCAAATCACATCTCAATTCAAGCCTAGTGCTGCTCAACCCAGCAGTCAACACACTATACAGTGTACACTGCATCCAAAAAGGACTTATAGTCAGTAATTAACAAGGATATCATTGTCATCATATCATTGGCTACTGTACCTCATTTGATCCAAAGAAAATTGTAATTGAACTGTGGAAGACTGGCACCGTTTTACTTGGTTACAAGAGTCACATTTCCAATTCTGACACAGATAGTAGAGTTCATAAGTAAAAGAGACTGTGGTTATCGCTTCACTTGTCAAAAGGGTGTTATGCAAGCTGGTAGTTGCAGCTCTCTAATTATATGTAGTGTGTTCTGTTGGAGTTCACAAGGACCTCTAGCAAAATTGGAATCTGTCTTGACAGACTCCAGTTTCGCTAGATAGAA